AATAGGACTCGAGAAATTCCCACTCTAACTCCTCATATACTGTATTTCCCCTTACTTCTTTTCTACTGTATTTAACAGAAAATAACTGGCTTTTTTGGATTCATTAGCTTAATGAAAGCACTACAGATCAAAATTCATGTTTTCTGTTTTTTGGGAGAGGTTATACTGATTTGTTGAACTGGATTTGCCTCTTGGTAATTTCGATCATGGTAAAACATTTTGAGAAGATGAACTCATCATGGAAAAAATGCTGCATTACCTACCTGCAACCAAAGAAACCCACTTTTGCATTAAGAAGACATGATCAGCTGCAGTTCTCGATAACTCCCACCTACTACCACAAAATTGGCAAGGCACACAAAATAACAGCACCTATAGACACCAAATTACCTTATGAGGTCACCTTGCCATTCCAGCTGTGAGGGGTTTTATTCTCTAAATACATTCAGTGTATGTATTTATACACCTACACCAACCAGAAATCTTGCAATTTCCATGGCAGTCTGCAAACAGTTGTGGGTTGTTTGGAACAAACTACCTCAGCTTGTTTTGGACACTGATTCACTGGAGTCCTTCAAGAAGCCGCTTGAAGAGCTTCTGAGATCATTAGGCAACTGACAACCTATAGATCAGTGGGTAAAGGCAAACATTCTGGCTACAACTGCAGCAAAATAGGTCAACTGCTCTCCTTTTCTTTTTGGTCTCCCTTGTATTTCTGCAGTCAAACTTGTCTCATTACTTATATGTTTTTGCCCTCAGCTGACTCTGTCAGCCTGAAAAGCTTTTAAATTGGGTGTCACATGGTGAAAAAGAACTTCTCCCCTCCCCCTGGATGTTTCCAAGCTCCTGCTCGAGCCTTCACAACCGCCATTAGGTGACGGCAGCTGTTCTCTCACAGGAGCTGCTTCTCGCAGGGAAACTGCACGGGCTGTATGCGAACAACAACTTCTTCCTAAAAGACTTGTCTACAGGTCATTAATTTCTAAACTGTAACTGACTTTACAGAAAGGTTAAGTAAATCTCATAGGGGAGGGTGAGAAAGTGTTCATGATCCCCTTGTAATTTCCCTGACAGAAGACTGTCATAGCAAACCTAGAGGCAGAGAACCAGAGAACTGCCTTCAACAACAGGCCCAATTTAAAACAGAACCAAAACCTTTTCACTTTACAGACCTGAGCATTTTTTTTATTGAAGAAGAGTAAAAGCACTACACTGATTGGGTAAATGCAGTATTTCCAAAAAGCCCTCTTCATATAAGTTGTAACCAGTCCAAAACAGTATTTAGGATGGTGTCCTAGAGTGTCTTTATGTTAATCAGGCAGTTTAACAATTCTGCTGTGAGTTTGAAGAAGCAGTGTTGGAAGAAGGGTTAGGGCTCGGGACTCCCAAAGAGAGGCCTGTGAATTCAAATCATATTTCTCTGGTAAAGGCTCAGCAGTATATATGGTTACTCTCAAGATTATATTGTAAAAGTGAATTTGTTCTGAACTGATTTTTCTAGTTAAATTAGAAATTACAATGACAATGGAGTTATGACAAATCTGTCTCTCACATGATCCTACAGGTAAGATGCATGAATGAGTATAGTAGAATAGAATACAGTACCACAATACACTCCTGAGCTACAGAAACCTGTCCATAAACAGAGTAACAGAAGAAACATTATACACATGAAGACATTAGCAGTGACAGACTAAAAATAAAACAAAGAGGCATCAAGTCAATGACTGGGAAATTAAAGCTTAATTGCACAACACCCTGGACAACTGACAGAAAGATAATAAGGAAGCAAATTACATAGAGATGTTTTTTACTAAACAAGGGTGTGAGTAAGAGATAACCACGTGCCTTACCCCAGAGTCGTACTGTATATACTGTAAGAACTACACTTCTGTAGATAACTGCTGAGGCACAGATTAGACACCTTCTCATCAGACTGGGAAATAAAGCCTAGCCCAAAAACGTAAGAAGCCTACTTTATATTCAAGGAATATATGCTATGCATTTCAGCAAGTAGAGCCTTTTATGAGTGAGCTACTTGTGCACCATAGCATGTAGTGCAAACTTTGGAACATTGCACTTGAATTAACTAATACAAAAGAGAAGGCTCCTAACATAATAGAATGAATATTACAAAGTAAAAAGTGGAATAATGTGAAAGGATGAATTATAAAAGTCTTCTCATCCATCCATTTTCTAACTGCTTCTTCCAATTCAGAACCAGAGCCTATCCTGGGTAGACAGAAAGATAATAAGGAAGCAAATTACATATAGATGTTTTTTACTAAACAAGAGTGTGAGTAAGAGATAACCACGTGGCTTACCCCAGAGTCGTACTGTATATACTGTAAGAACTACACTTCTGTAGATAACTGCTGAGGCACAGATTAGACACAGTCTCATCAGACTGGGAAATAAAGCCCAGCCCAAAAAAGTAAGAAGCCTACTTTATACTCAAGGAATATATGCTATGCATTTCAGCAAGTAGAGCCTTTTATGAGTCAGCTACTTGTGCACCATAGCATGTAGTGCAAACTTTGGAACATTGCACTTGAATTAACTAATACAAAAAGAAGGCTCCTAACATAATAGAATGAATATTACAAAGTTAAAAGTGGAATAATGTGAAAGGTTGAATTATAAAAGTCTTCCCATCCATCCATTTTCTAACTGCTTCTTCCAATTCAGAACCAGAGCCTATCCTGGGTAGCTGGATGGGATGCCAGTCCATCGCAGGGCACACACAGACACAGACATGCATACCAGGGCCAATTAACATTCCAGTATGTTTTAGGACTCTAGGAGGAAACTGAAGCACCTGGAGGAAACCCGTACAAACATGGGAAGAACATACAAACTCCACACAGACAGCACCCTTGTCTGGAATTGAACACAGGGCCCCAGTGCTGAGAGACAGCAATTAAAACCACTGTGTCAGAGTGCCACCAAAATGTTCTGTTCAAGTGTTATTTTTAATATTGAAAGTCTTCTTAATCTTCTCGGTGTCTACCTGAGTGACTCTGTCTCCTCTCATAGCCAATCTAAATTTGCATGATGCCTGTGCACTTCTGGTCTCTCCTTCAAACTTAGATAGATACATGTTGTTGTTAAGAGCTATCTGAAAGTGAATGGATCATTTTGGTTTATATAATTAAATTTAGTACTGATTTTGCTTGTAAAGATTTTGGGATATCTTGAAATGCTATAGTCCCACTGGACCAAGCAAAACGTGCATATCTTTACCTGAGTGCACCACCATGCATTAAACTGACATCCCTTTTTGTCATGTTTTGCTCCTAGGCAGAGATTTTGATGTCACATTGGCAAAACGTTTAAATTGCAGCTGTTTGTGAAGTAGCACCATTCAATTCCAACCAAACTTTTCTCCAAATGGAGACAAATTCCTTCAGTCTGAGAGTTAGTCTATAATTGTAGAAAAACAAATCTTTGTAAGAGTCATAGAATATGTCACGTGGGGGCAGTGCCAGGAGGTTACACTACATAGAAAAACATTTAAATCCCAAAGAACTACATAGCATTCCAAATATAAATTAATATAATCCATCATTATCTCCATGCCTGTATTATTCACAAGGACCATCACACTGCGTTATCATGTATGGTTTTATTCTGGCTGCAGAACTGTAAAACAGACACTGAATAAGGAACGGAGTAATTAAATCTGAAAACACTGAAACGGAAGATTCCCGTATTTGTTATTTGTGTGCAAAGTGCGCAGCCTAGACACTGCAGATATTTAACTAATTTAATTATTTTCGCTGGTTACTGAAGATGAATCGTAAATCAAAAATGCAAAACCTCGACAACAAACATACTGAAATGCGTGTTATTCAATGTGTTGTATCATATAAAGTGTGCAAACCTTGATTTTCTTCATCTGATCTGTGAAATGTTTCGTCCCTGTTCATGTTTAAACACTAGTAATGCACACTTGTCACAATACATGTAAACATGGTATTCAGTATTAATAACCGGATCATTAATCAACAGTTAATAATTAAGACAAAAAACAACATATTTCACAATATCTTGTCTCTGTGCTTCTGGGTTCATATACTAATCACGATCACATAAAATCTGAACTCGCGTTGCTTTCCTACAGCGCTAGTAACATCGATTTTATTTAATCCGGGCTAGGAGCCAACAGTGATGTGCTGTACTAAAAGTTGAAAAAACTAGTAGTAGTAAATAATATAAATTATACAATTTCTCAAATCTATTGTATTGTTTTTTATTTAAAATTCTGAGAAGGTTGAGTTGTCAATTATTAATATTAATCCCTGATACGGCAGCACACAAAGAGCACTCTGGCCAATATTATTCCAGATCACGAGCCTGGTTTTCCTCCTCTGTAATCCCACAATTTAACAAGAACCTCCAAATAGTCCCTTCCCCCATATAGATTATAATCTGTATCTGTATGGTGCCCGTTCACCATATTAAATCCCTCTGGACGAATGAGAGATACACTATCAGAACAAGCAGCTGAAACGGGTTACTTTTCACAGTCCGTCCCCACTTGCTCCTTTAAACCGCTATTGAAAGCACAGGATCAATACTCGCAAAATCGGATATTAAAGCAGGCATAATGGAAGCACACAGACTGGCTTTTAGGAGTTCACGGACCGTACCCTTGCAATATCATGTGATTGTTCTACGTGCTGTAAAATAGGCTGCTCACAAACGACGCCAGACGCTTTTAGAAGGAGGTGGGGGAGACAGTTTGATCCCGAAACAAATAATTAAATACAGAAGCCATGTTAACTTTAACATGATATGAATACCTTTCTGTCATTCTGGCTAAAAGTAAATGCAGCCCTCAGAGAAGGTATAAACGACGGAGATCCAGTTCATTGATCATCGGGTAATGCTGGCAACAGTTATAACGCAACGCTTCTTATCAGGCATGTCTTGAATGTCGTAAGAAAAGGCACAATTGTTACGAGTGTAATCGCCAAGAATGGACATTTCAGACCTACCTGCTCTTTTCGCTTCTGCCAACGGCCGCAGGGGCTTTCTTCCAAAATCTCGCTCTCATCCTCGCTCTCCTCCTCCTTTCCCCCAGACCCAGAGCTCCTCTCCGGGACGGACATAGTCATGTTTTTCTTGCGATTTCTCACTCCTTCGCCTTCAAAACGTCCCTACATAGGCGAGTTACTACTACGTCTACGCAGCAATTGGGTCTAAAATTGCAGTACTGTTGTGATAACAGTAACTCCCCACGGCACACGGCAGCATGAGATATAATCTTCAGATGGTTAGTTTAAAATAAATTCATTGGCGCAATTAAAGCACATGATAACATACTAGAAAATGAAAAATCGAAGTATCCGATTTTTGTTTTAAAAAGACACATTTCTCCGTGAATGTGTCGGATTTGGTAGCGATTGAATACCCAAAATTAAAACGTGAGGGGGTGGACCTTAAGAATCCACGAGAAAAAGCTTTATTTTGCTTTCGTGGGCTCCATGAGAACAGCCTGCTGGCGCATATTGATAGGGAACGAATTTTGCAGAAAACGAGATACACCACGAGTTTATGTATATTTTGACCAAAAAAAGGCACGCCTTCACTCACTTGGCTTCCCGGTTTCTTCTTTTACAGTGTTTACTTTTCTACATATATCAACCCCCTCTGGACTGCTAGCCCCTGCCCACACATACATCATTCACGATTTGAATACAGTCTCCCCCTGTGGGTCTCAAATATTTACTCTGCATCCAGTTACCGTAACATGTGGACATTCTGCGTAATTGCACTTTGCAATGTCGAACACGCAAGGGAGCAGACATACTGAACAATACCTCAAGTATTACGTTAATGCGTCAATACAAAATTATGGCACGATAAAGAGAATGTCAGGTACATTTTGTTTATTTTAATTTTAAATTCAAGCATCTTAATAGGGCGTATATACCAAATTTATATTGTAACGCTTATATTGTAACGGCCGACAAGCACTGTGTGTAAGAGCCGGCGTACCAGAGCGGGTGACGTCACCGCCCTTCCCTGTGATAGCAGGACCACAGCTACTGGGCTGTGGACAGATCCCTCTTTAGCTCACGGGGCTAGGTCGCTACAGAGAGACGCTGAAGTCCCGGGTTCGAGCCTCCAGTCGGGATGGGGCCGACCAGATGCAGCAAGGGCGCCCGCCTGAGTCCCCGTTGAGTTACAATATTATTATATCACGTCATATTTACGGGGCAATATATGATATATTTTTATTTTTATTCTTTTCTGTCTCTTCACTCTCCCTATGTCTTTTACAATTTTAACACAGGGGGATATAGTCATCATCACAATCTTTTAAAGAGACTATAGGATAGGTAGCGTTCGGCTCGACGCACCGCCCCATAGGTTCGAAGAACCGCCCTACTTGTGTTGGTAATCATAGGAAAGTGACCCTAAATGTATGTAAATGAGTTTATACAGTAGGTACCGTGTGGTTTTAACCATCAGATAACATATTCATACTCTGAACACAAAATCAATGAAGTTCGTTGTGAAACATGAACAATACAACACCTCTAGATTTTAAAATGTCTGACAAATAAACACACAACTAATTCCAAATATAATGACAATTGTAAGAGTATAATCAATCAATAAATCAATCAATACACATTTTATTTGTTATAAAGCCCTTCCCAAAACATTATCGTCAAGGTTTTACATTAGAGTTACACTAGAAGCTTAAAATGATACAAGACACAAGTGAAAACTACATGGAAGTGCTGTCACCCCAATGTGGCTAGTGTTTTCAAAACTTCATGCACACTCAGAAATTATCAGAGATGATCAGAACTCAACAAAACATGTGTAACTGCTAATTCTTACACCGGTAGCTACAATCTCTCTCCCCAATGTGACTAGTGTTTTCAAAACTTCATGCACACTCAAATTTGTCAGAAATTATAAGAACTCAATAACATGTGTGTAATTGCTAAAACTAACATGGGAAGGTACAATAATAATAATTATAATTGCTTACACTTATATAGCGCTTTTCTGGATACTCCACTCAAAGCGCTTTACAGGTAATGGGGACTCCCCTCCACCACCACCAATGTGCAGCATCCACCTGGATGATGCGATGGCAGAAATAGTGCGCCAGAACACTCACCACACATTAGCTATCAGTGGGGAGGAGAGCAGAGAAATGAAGCCAATACATAGATACAATCTGTCTCCCCAATGTGACTAGTGTTTTCTAAACTTCATTCACACTCAGAAATGGTCAGAAATGATCAGAACTCAACAAAATGCGTGTAACTGCTAATTCTGACATGGGTATGTACAATAATAATTATTATAATTGCTTACACTTATATAGCACTTTTCTGGATACTCCACTCAAAGCGCTTTACAGGTAATGGGGTCTCCCTTCCACCACCACCAATGTCCAGCATCCACCTGGATGATGCAACGGCAGCAATAGTGCACCAGAACACTCACCACACATTAGCTATCAGTGGGGAGGAGAGCAGAGTAATGAAGCAAATTCATAGATACAATCTGTCTCCCCAATGTGACTAGTGTTATCAAAACTTCATACACACTCAGAAATGGTCAGAAATGATCAGAACTCAACAAAATGCGTGTAACTGCTAATTCTTACACGGGTACGTACAATCTGTCTCCCCAATGTGACTAGTGTTTTCAAAATTTCACGCACACTCAGAAATTGTCAGAAATGATGAGAATTCAACAAAACGTGTGTAACTGCTAAAACTAACACTGATACGTTATTCTGTCTCCCCAATGTGACTCGTGTTTTCAAAACTTCATGCACACTCAAAAATGGTCAGAAATGATCAGAACTCAACAAAATGCATGTAACTGCTAATTTTGACATGGGTACGTACAATCTGTTGCCCCAGTGTGACTAGTGTTTTCAAAATTTCATGCACACTCAGAAATGGTCAGAAATTATCAGAACTCAACAAAATGCGTGTAACTGCTAATTCTGACATTGGAAGGTACAATCTGTCGCCCCCAATGTGACTAGTGTTTTCAAAACTTCATGCATGCTCAGAAATGGTCAGAAATGATCAGAACTCAACAAAACGCATGTAACTGCTAATTTTGACATGGGTATGTACAATAATAATAATAATTATAATTGCTTACACTTATATAGGGCTTTTCTGGATACTCCACTCAAAGTGCTTTACAGGTAATGGGGACTCCCCTCCACCACCACCAATGTGCAGCATCCACCTGGATGATGCGACGGCAGAAATAGTGCGCCAGAACGCTCACCACACATTAGCTATCAGTGGGGAGGAGAGCAGAGTAATGAAGCCAATTCATAGATACAATCTGTCTCCCCAATGTGACTAGTGATTTCAAAACTTCATGCACACTCAGAATTTGTCAGAAATGATGAGAACACAAGAAAACGTGCCTAACTGCTAAAACTAACACTGATATGTTTTTCTGTCGCCCCAATGTGACTCGTGTTTTCAAAAGTTCATGCACACTCAGAAATGATCAGAACTCACCAAAACGTGTGTAATCACTAAAACTAATGCTGATACATTATTCTGTCTCCCCAATGTGACTACTGTTTTCAAAACACTCAGGAATTGTCAGAAATTATGAGAACACAAGAAAATGTGTGTAACTGCTAATTCTGACATGGGTACGTACAATCTGTGGACCAATGTGACTCGTGTTTACAAAACTTTATGCACACTCAGAAATGGTCAGAAATGATCAGAACTTAAGAAAAGCTATGTAACTGCTAATTCTTACATGGAGTAGTGCGAAGCTAGCTACATTAAGCGACCTTTCAAAATAAAATCCTCTTTAAACCAGCTTTAGAATTTGTACATCCTCTAAACTAGGTTGAATGTGATAAAGAGACCCATGGGTAATAAGAAATTGCCATTCTTCATTATTTTTTTGCTCTCTTGCAATCTTTTTGGTGTTTTTATATCACTTCCTCCTTGCAAATTGACACAGTGCTGTGCACTGCTAGACAACAAACAGTCTGATTCCTGACAAAAAAAAATTGTGCCTATCAAAAAGTAGCTCAGATCTATTCTACAGACCCTCAACTAATAGTATATAACCAGATAGTAACGCCAGATAAACGTCTTTGCAAATGTTGCTCTAGTTTATAGGGGCACTTCTCGTTCCCGGTCTGGTGGTCTCACTCCCCTCCCAACCAAACAAAAATTTAAACAAACAGGAGAACAAAGGGCCCAATGCCTATTTGGGTTTGAAACTGTTAGAATTTTTTTTTTCAAATTTCTTGTCATCTATCCCAATATGGACAGACATACTAATGGGTAGATTACAGCAATAACCAAAAAACAGACCAAAAGCATATTGACAGGACTACATCAATTTCTGAGATTAATTTAAAAAATACTAAACAACTGTTTCTAAATTATGAAAAGGTTAGAATCGATGAATGTGTGGAAAGGTTAGGAATTCTTTACAAAGCACACGGAAGTGAATTCTGTGATAAAATAAGACTAAATCTGTCTAGAATAAGTAGGTTTCCTGCCCTTGTGGAAGAGGAGGAATGGAACAAGAAAAAGAAAATTCCACAACAGCTCAGGTGTTCATTCCAAAAACCCCCATCGGGACAATCTAAAATGTTTAGTCTAAATGATAAATGCAAAATCGATGGTCATCCAAATTATCACAACAAGCCATTTATCAATACATTCTCAGAAACGGGTCAGATTGGCAATCTTGATTGGGTCAATAAAACATGTAATGTAATCAATAATCCTGCTAGCTACTTTTCAATGTCCCAGATAGAAAAAAAAATATTATAATTTTTTACATGCAAAATTCATAGTTTGGAACACGGCCCATACAGTACATTAGACATCTACCTACCACTTTAATTATCATAAGTTACAATCCTCTCTGTCTAGTAGATTAATGTCTCACCATCTCCTCCATTGACAAAAAACAAATGTACAAAATTGCAGGTATTCTGCTTCATTTGAAAAACATCCCTTTTCTTTTAATGTTTAGGAGAAATGGGAATGACACTTGGTTCTCCAATGAAAATCATGATATAATCTACAGCTTTACAATGATCCAGAAAATCTAAGTGACTTGTCAGACAATTGTCACTACATATAATTTAATTGTATGTCTGTCTATATGAAAAGAGTATTTTATTTGGTGGAAATCACCTTGTTTGTGATACATTGACCATGCGACAGATTTTGACCAACAAATTGGCCACTGGTGTTGTTCTTAATATTTAGATCTTGCTTGTGTTCTTAATATTCCCTTATGTATTCCTTTACATTGTATGCCACAGATTTCGTTTTCATGTGCACTTTCAGAAAATGGCCTGATCTAAACAACAAACTGCTGGCGTTTACAGAGCACCCACCTCCAGACTGGGACCGTGCCGTGATGGTGCAGAGAGTGGTCTCACCCCCCTCCCGACCAAACCAATATTTGTACCTCTTCAAAAATACCTTTAATCTATTCTATAGACCCTCAGCTAATAGAAAATCATAATGTTTTTGTCAGATAGGTGTCTTTGCTAAAGTTACTGGGGTTTATAGAGCACCTCCCATTCCTAGACTGGGACCATGCAGGAATGGACAGAGAGCGGTCTCACCTCCCTCCCGACCAAACAAACATTTGTGCCTCTCCAAAAATACTTCAGATCTTCTCTACAGACCGTCAGCTAATAGTACTTAACCATGGTTTTGTCATATAAGTGTCTTTGCTAAAGTTGCTGGGGTTTATAAGACTACTTATAGGCCAGCAGCCATATCACCCTGCAACTCACAACTGGCAACCCACTGAAGCTAAGCAGGTGTGAGCCTGGTCAGTACCTGGATGGGAGACCTCCTGGGAAAACTTAGGTGTTAGTGGGGCCAGCAGGGGGCCACCGTGTGGGTCCTAATGCCCCAGTATAGTGACGGGGACACTATATTGTAAACAGGTGCCGTCCTTCGGATGAGACATAAAACTGAGGTCCTGACTCTCTGTGGTCATTAAAAATCCCAGGGTGTTTCTCGAAAAGAGTAGGGGTGTAACCCCGGCATCCTGGCCAAATTTCCCATTGGCCCTTACCAATCATGAATAATAATCCCCATCTATGAACTGGCTACATTACTCTGCTCTCCTCCCCACGGATGGCTGATGTGTGGTGAGCGTTCTGGCGCACTATGGCCGCTGTCGCATCATCCAGGTGGGTGCTGCACATTGGTGGTGGTGGAGGGGAGTCCCCATTACCTGTAAAGCACTTTGAGTGGAGTGTCCAGAAAAGTGCTATATAAGTGTAAGCAAGTATTATTAATTATTACTTGCTGTTCCCAGACTGGGACCGTCCAGTGATGGTGCAGGGAAAAGTGTAAACAACAACCGTGATCCCACCCAAAGTAATGCTGACACTGAAGATCAAAGTATTGCGACCAAAACCATTGCAAAACCAAATCTGTAAATTACCCAACAGACAAAAAAACAAAGGTGGAGTGTAATGCTTGCAATGAGAGGTTTAACTTTGTGTAGGTATTACACAGAATGACAAAGATATTGAATCTGTTGGGTTTCTGTGTTGCTCAGAAAAATGTGATGTTAAAGTCATGGCATTAAAAACTGGGTTTGGTTTCTTGAACAAATATGAAGCAATCAGCAGTGTAATACATAAGTCAGATGTAACAAAAAAAAGTAACATTGATGTATCACATGTCAGCATTGGTGTTCAAACAGCGCTGGATTATCTCATTTTTGGGGCTTATTGTGGTAAGTCAGACAATAAACAGATGTTTTCCCAGGATAGGGAGGTGAAGCTAAATGGTGACACAGAAGTGGAAAATAGTATTGCATATAGTGTATCCGTCACCCATGGAAATTGTTTCTCATGTTATTACTCCTGAAAGTAAAATGCACAGTATGGATGCCTGCAGAAGTGATGCCGATGGTATGAATCTAGATGGTAGCTGTTATGAGAACATGTGTTTGCAGCAAAAATCAATGAGACAAACCAATATTGTGTCATAATGTTTAAGTCATGCACTCAGGTTTAATACATCTGTATTATAAGTTGTTCTAGGAACCACTGTATCTGAAAATACATGGGTACTGTGGTCATAAGTCCTGTAAAATGAATTTTGTTATCACCCCTGAAACCCTGCAAAATCTACATTTTCAGGTAGTTTACAGAGGGCTGACAGAGCATCCTTGTGAGACTTTAAAACCAAGACCATCTAGTAAACATGAAAGACAGAAATTGGGAGAGGAAATGATAAATGTCAGGGTGTATAACTTATATAATGAGTTGCTAGGAAAGGTGCAAATTACGTCTGGGGTTGGGTGCAGCACATCCAGTCTGAGAAAAATTAAATCTGAACATCAAGCCAATAAGCTACTTGATAGTGGCAAACCAGCTGCAGTTCGATTTTTGAAAGAGACACCTGAAAGTGGAGATAAAACTAGCAAATAAGTGAAAGGATTTATTCAAATTATACCATTCAGTCCTGTCCCACCATATATGACTGTGCCATCAATCAAACATTTTTAGTCTAAATGATAAATGCAAAATTGATGGTCGTCCAAATGATCACAACAAGCCATCTATCATTAAATTCTCAAAAACAGGTAAAAAAAGCCCTAAACAAGTGCTGGTCTAATTTTGTCATGTAGTGTGTTGCTAATATGAATGCAATACAGACGTAAATAAATATGGAATTCTATTCAAAAGATTTTAAGATTATGCCTGGCTGAATTTGGTCAAACCTGCCATCAACAATCCTAGCAGCCACTTTTCAAAGCCAGTGTCAGATGAGATATCTGAAGTGATATCTTCAATAGATTTCAAGAGAGAAATTGACCCAGCAGATTTAATAATTCCCCTTATGTCCTGGGTCGTTTGTGGCCAAGTAAACAGTACCTTTATTACTTTCCGTGTAGACTTTTGCTAGAACTGTAGTTTCTTGCATACCGAAATACGTGAAGTCAGTAATTTTTTGGTTGCACAGATAGCTAATTTTTAATGGGTTTATCTACCCTCATACATAAGTCTTTACTAAAAAACATAGTCATGCAGAATTGCTCAAAGTGTAAGCAAACAGTGGTCTGGAAGCAACAATTTAGCTCTTGTCCACAAACTATTGTGATTCAGATTTCCAGAGCACATTCCACTGCGAACTGCAGTTGAAATTGGAAGCTGTTGTTAAAGTGCAATGTACTATTAAATCAACAATATGCCATGAAGGAAAGTCTATAAGCAAAGGTGGACATTATTGGGCGGTACTTTCGTGCATTGAACAGAAATTTAGAATTAAAGCAAATGATCAAACCATCACAACACAGCCAACACATAGCATAGATTGTGTTTGTTTTCTAGAAATAAAGGAGGCATCGGACAGAGGCATATGTTGGTCAAACCATGTATTCACAGTTGCGAATGCCAATACTCATGAAACACAAAAAAACATGGAGCCACTGAACAGTTACATATCAATTCTACTGCATAGTAAAGAGGCACTGAAAGAGTCTTTGAATAGGTTGCAATCATTGACAAAGAAACAGACAGCGTTATCTGTAACAATACACAAGACACTTATGGGATCTAAAGCCGTTCAGATTTCCAAAAACACCCATGATGCCGAACCAGGTCAAATTGACACAGAGTCCAATATTAGAGAATTTCTTGCAAAACATCTATGATCCAAAATTGGACTCCCAAGCCGTAGACTCCCTGAGGTTCATCACTCCACGGTCCTAGTCTGGGAATAGGAGGTGCTTTATAAACCCTAGCAGTTTTGACAGAGACACTTATGTGACAAAAACAAGGTGATTTTCTATTAGCTGTGGGTCTGAAGAATAGATTTAAGGTATTTTTGAGTGGGCACAAATGTTTGATTGGTCGGGAGGGGAGTTAGACCACTACCTGCACCATCACTGCACGGTCCCAGTCTGGGATCAGCAAGTGGTCTTATAAACCTCAGCAACTTTAGCAAAGACACTTAAATGACAAAACCATAGTTATGTACTAGTAGCCGTGGGTCTGTAGAGAAGATTTGAGGTATTTTTGGAGAGGCACAAATGTTTGTTTGGTCAGGAGGGGGCTGAGACCGCTGAGACCGCTCCCTGCCCATCATCCCAATCTGGGAATGGGAGGTGCTCTATAAACCCCAGCAGTTTTGACATGGTTTTTGAGAAAACCATGGTGATTTTCTATTACCAGTGGGTGTGTAGAATACATTTGAACTACTTTTGGAGAGGCACAATTTTTGGGGGGTCAGGAATTAGACTTTTTCCTGTCTAGCAGTGCACAGCTGTGTCAATTTGGAAGGAGGAAGTGATATAAAAACACCAATAAGATTGCAAGAAAGCAAAAAATTAACGAAGAACGGCAATTTCCTATTACCTGTGGGTGTATTTATCACATTCCACCTGGTTTTGAGGATGTACAAATGTGTTGTTGTGCTATAAATGGGATTTTACCTGGTCCAGGATTATTTGTTCTGAGGTAAGTTTTAGGTGACTTTTATTTTGAAAGGTGCTGCCAAGCCAGCGTCGCTTAATGTCGCTTGCTTCACGCTACTGTACTGAGCCTAGTGAAGTTGTGGGGGGTGTTCTAGTTATGTGTAACCGGGTGGTTACGGAGTGGATATTTGAAATCTGACACTGAAATTGGTAGCTGCCGCTTTATGACACGCACTATGAGTGACGTCAGTGCGCCAGTAATTGTGGGAGTGTACATCGTAAAATTGAGCGTGGTGTGTGGCTACGTGTGATGTGAATGCAGAGGGCGTGTTAAAAGAAGACTGACATTCTGTGCTTCTTGGATTAGACGATATTAAAGATGAAATTGCCACTACCGTATTTTTTTCTTTGTCTTTGTTATTTTAGTAGCACTTTGTGCATGGTGTGTATATCTCCATGTATATCTATGTGAATCTTTCGGGTTAAAGGTTATACTGCATCCAATCTTAGTTTTGTAACAGAAAATAATACAACCACTCATTTTTATAATTTCATGCAGATCCAGAATAAAAAAATCCCCATTTACGTTTATTGCAGTGCGGAGTTTTCTTTCCCGGGCTACATATGTATCTTGTATACCTCGGTGGTTATAGGTTATAGGACCAAAACCAAATGTAAATAATTTAACGTCTTTCAAAATAATACGGGGGGCTTGTTGAAGATTTGGATCTTCTGTATCCTCGCTTGAAATTCAATTCAGTCCAATAGTCTTAACGTCGGTATGAACTGTTTTGTTCTCTTTTTAAAATTTCGATGGTATTCTCATTGACATTTGGTTAAGATCATATTTTCTCTTCGTTATCAGTTCAAAATCAATCATATCTGTGGAAGTAGCTGTTACAGAGGAGTGGTATCTAACACTGAGCGTCCAGAACTATACATTGCGTCCAGTGTTCACGTATCGCGCAGGCGCAGGGAAGACTCCCGCGAGATGTCATCTAGAACGCATCCAGCGTGAAAGTAGACCCGCGAAGTCTCGCGAAATTTCGAGTTGCCATTCAAATCCTGTGTTGGCCTGCGAACGAAACTCCACTACATGGCGGTGGCAGTGACTGCGGTAAATATTGCAAATTATATTTGTATTTAGTTTTGGCTTAGGGTGTCTGCTTTAGTTTATTTTGGGTATTAATCGGAAAGGGTCATTAAAACTCACGAAATACTGTGAGGAAGGAAATCGGGAATGAGAAAATGAGTACTGCGGAAAAATTGCGTGACCCCGCTCTCCCTTTGTGTTGCATGTTGGTGAGAAGACGTGAAAATGCTTCGGATGAAGCGGCGAACTAACACATTTTGTCGTTGGCCGTCTTCAGCCACATGGCGGATTCCATTTAATTACATTTTCTTTTTAATTAGGTTTGTTATACCTTACTTTCGTTTTAGTGCAAAGACATGTAGTGTCACTCATGGTGGCCGATGTGTATGCTTGATTTTTGTTAGTCGTAACGGGAGATGTATAAATACACCTGTTATTTTATTTTCCACGTATGCACTTAAGTATTCCCTTTTTCTTTGTGGAATTGTTCGGTAAAATACTTAATCCAGTGTACTTGTGTACAACTGTGACGGAGGAGCTGTGTGGTACTAGGCCTCTGGTGTTCTGGGGTCTTCCTCATGAATGGTCTCGTCGGCTGTTCTGGAGCGTTTTTTTAAATTGCAAGGCGACTTAATAACCAGATTTAGTCCCCTCTCAGTTATATGTTTGGTTCTTTGATAAAACGGAACGAAAAAAACAAAGACTTGTGCTTGTAAAAAAGATCTGAGCTTTCGTCCGGCGCCTACTGAGAATGCTGCCGCTGGCGCTTTTCTGGAGTGATGAACTGGTGTCTGAAATTTAAATAAAGTCGGATAGGCTCGTGGTCTCCTGTTGATTCTTTAGTGTTCATTTTATTTATGCAATCGATGACACTCGTACACTGTCGCTAAGCTTAAATGAATGCGCTATAAAAAGATGGCTTTTAAAATCGAAATTGCTTTAGGAGTTGCAACACCCTTTTAGTGATTGAGGTCACTAATGAATATTTGTTGTAGCGTGCTTCTTTAATGTAACTGCGCTTAAAGCCAACAATCCCAGTCCTGGTAGCCCGGTGTGTCTGCAGGATTTCTAGTTCTTCAAAGCACCAGCTCCCTGAGAACTGGAAAAAGTAAAGAGGGTCCAGTTAGGGCCATAAGGAGCTGATTTCGATGGTTAAGAACCCAGCTGCACTGAACGCCTGCAGAGACACCAGCCCTCCAGCACCAAGACTGGGGACCCATAGACTTAAATAATTATCTAAGTCAAATAGCTTTCTTTACTTTCCACCTTTTGCCAACACCTGAGCACAAACAACAGTTTACAGAGAGGCTCAAGACCATACAGGTCTTAATGAAAGTGTGATGAATTGATACAGTTCAAACCCATGTTCCCAATTGGGGAGAAAAACCCACAGCAGTATCGTTGTGGGGAAACAAGGGAACTTCAGACCACAAAGTTTTGGTGATGGCTTTTGGAGTAATTCATGACATAATGATACATTCTTCTCAAAATACTGAGACTAGTGCTGTATAATGGACACAAGGAGGGATCTATAGACCGTCTAAACTGTTTAGCTTTAGTGTGCCATCTAGAGTTGAAATACAGAGTATGTAAGCTCCAATGATTGAAATCCACTTTATTTTTCTTCATATTCCCTATTTGAAATGCTGTAAGCAATTTGGGATTTCTTTTTAAAATCCATCATTGGAACTTTGGGGAAACTGTGCAGCCTGGATGATTTAACTGTTTTGACTCTGAATCTGAAAGGTTTCTCTTTCCCCTAGACTCTGTTTTGAACTGTAAAAGCTTCTCCCTATTAATTATCTTCCAACGGGTAACACATCTCAGGAGACTCAAGCGAAGATCAGGGAGTAGGTAAGGGACAAATTTTCCCCTCAAGCCCTTATCATTTGTATGTGAATAAAGCGGTGCATATATTTAGGAGGTTAAGGCTCTCCTTGAATGTCTGCTGTGCAACTTCTGCTCTTCCTTTTTTCTTTTTATTTAAGTGCGCTGTCCAACTAGAATGGAGCATTTCTGGTTACATAAAAGTGGCCAGCTCGTTTGACGGTAGGTTGAAACAGAAACAAGATTTAGATTGAGAACCTTTCCAGTCAGTGGTGGCATACCAGATCTTGGCCTAAGCCAAATATTAACTGAAGGGTCATTAAATCCCCACCTACTAAGCACCTCTCAGTTGCTGATTTAACACGGACAAGTCAGTGCATTTCAGAGCTTAGATGAGATGAAATCAGAACACAATCTGGAATGGTAGTACTGTATTTGTCAAGAAGTGGAGCTTGCTTTACTTTTTTCTTTCACCAAGATTTGCACTTCGGCAGCATTTGTGGATAATTTTTGAAGATGCCTTTCTGTCTGGCCTAACTGACCTTTATTTGCATTCCTGATGCTTTTACTTGCTAACATTCTTCAATGTCTGCTGTGTTTGAGTTTCTAAAGTGTTCACGCATTTTCTTTGTGGAAGCGACCGTATGATCTTGAAAGCCTGTGTATGAGTGTTGAAGGAGTCTAGTGAAATCTCTGTAAAACTGTTTGGTCTTATGCAAAGTCTCTGCACTGGGTTTTAAATTGACTGGTAATGGTGCCTTTTCTAAAACTTAGCATAACAGGTTTATATCACAATAGTATTACTCGGCTTAATCCTGACATGAGGAGACAGCTTCTAAGGGTTTTACAAGATGTGCCACACGATCATTCCCAAGCAAACTCTGTAGAATGTTTTATTGAAAATGCAAAAACTAGAGAATAGACAGTAGTAGGAAAAGTTATTCAATATGGGGTACTGTGGTAGGGCTCTGCATTATTCTTCTCCTGATAAGCATTTTGAGGCCAAAATGTCTTTTAGCACAAAAGTGCCTCCAGCTTCAGAAACTAGGTAGTCTGTCTGCTGAGGATATTTTTAAATATGCAGGCAGAGTATTTTTTCATCTTAAAAATTGTTGAACCCGCAAATCTGTGGGGATGTGTACAAATCTATTGTCTATCCAGTTTCTCTTTTGAATTCTTAAGTAGGTTTGTGTTTTTTTTTGTTTCTCTTTGTGCGTCTTTGTACTTTAGAGCGTATCTCTTGACTGTTCTAAATTTCCAAAGCCAATGGCAGAACTAATTGGCTTCAAACCTCTTTAAGGGGGGCAGTGCGTCATGGAGTTCATAACTAAAGGTACAAATGCTTTGCTTTGTCATAGTCTATAACATGACTATTATTTACTGTGGTTCCTTCTGTACACAGAGACCGATCATATGCTTAAGATTAAAATGTAAAAGTATTAAGACCCTTCCTAGAGTGTCCCATTTTGTGAAAATAGAAAATGATGCACACTGACCTTTTAAACTTAGTATTTTATTCAAAACCTGAATGCTGAAATTGAATACATGTAAGGGTAGGATAAATTATAGTAAAGGTAAGCATAAACTAAAGAGAAAAAATGGAAATGTTGATTGCATAAGTATTTCAGACATTGTGGAAATATCCTTTGCAGCAATTACAATTCTAAGAATTTTGCTGAAGCTCTCTCAATTTGCTTGAGAATTGCTTGTGAACAGGAGTTTACAGCAATTTTCCACAGATTCTTAATAGGGATCACATCAGTTTTTTGACTGGGACACTGAAGGAAATTTACTTTCTTATTCTGAAGCCACTGCAGGTAGCTTTACTTTTGTGCTTTTCATTTTTGTCCTTCTGAAAGGTTAATTTTTGTCCCAGTTTTAAGTCTGATGTAAGTTGTCCTTTAAGATGGTCTAGATAGCTTCATCTATATTGACAAGCTTCCCAATCCCTGCTGATGAAAAGCAGAAATATCACATAATGTAAACACAGCCACTATGTTAGATTTGTCAGATTCAGTGATTATTTTGCATTTAAACCACAAAGGTTCAATTTAGTCTTTTCTGACCATAAAATATTTTATCACTTGTTTACTGTATCACTTAAATGCTTTGCTGCAAACTATGTGAGATTTGAGACATTTTTTCCATCCTGGGATACAGGCAAGTTTCGTGGAGTGAGTGGGATATTGATAAATTCTCAGCCATTGAACTCTTGAGTGTTTTAAGTCAAATGTGAGGCCCCATAGTGGTGTCTCTCACCAGTTTCCTCTGTGCCTGGCTGCTGAGTTACAGCTGCCAGATCTAAGCAGTCTGGGTTTTATAATTTATCACCCATTTTTTAATGATCCACTTCAAAGGAATATTTTTTTTTAATCTATACATCTTTTTTTCATCTATGCTTTTCTACAACTTGTATCTGAGTTTATACTTTAGGCTTTGTTTGAAATTCACTAAGAGGCTTTACAGAGACGGGTATATATATTATTGCATACAGAGGCCACTTAACTAATTGTACAGCTCATGAAGGTAAAGTTTATTTTGGTAAACCACAGCAAATGATTTGAATACTTCTGCAATCATTACTGTAAGTTACTAGACTTATGTTTTTTGTTTTTTGCTTTGACTTTATGGAGGAGATTGTGCATATAATAAATTAATGGATTTTTTAAAATGTCGTAAGTGCAAGTTTTAAAGCCAACAGAATGTGAAAATTTTGCATTGGTCTGAATACTTTTGTTAGGTAGTGTATTTTATGTTTGTGTGTGATCTATGTACAAATCACAGCCAAAGAATTGTCCATTTTCTTGTATTGAATTAGTTGATGTATATTTGTGTCATGTGCAAGAACTGCTCATCTCAATTTCTAGGAACGGGATCGCCAAGGAGCATTTTTGTATCTGCTAAAAATGCTCAAATGCTAATTGAAAACTGAAATGCTAAGAGTTTGTTACCTGACTATGAGTAGGACAAAAACTGCAGATGTGCACATATGTCTTGCATTGTACATTACATTTATCCAATTATATTGACTTGCATGCTTTTGGAGCAAGCTCAAAAATATTTTGGTAACAAGGTACATTCCTGGAAGCAAATAGGAAGGTGGAGTTGAAGGGTTATGCAATTCCAGGAAAAACAGTGACCTGAAACTTTCCTAGAGTTTTTTTCTATCATAGCGGAGTTCCCTGTTCTGTCCAGATGAAGGTAATCCTTGAAGGGGACTCATAGTGATGTCTGTGTTTGCAGGGAGCTGAAGCTCTGATGATGGAGAATGGACAGAGCACAGCCACAAAACTCGGCCTGCCTCCTCTCACCCCGGAGCAGCAGGAGGCACTGCAGAAGGTAAGGCTATTTTCATGGGCTGCTGTGCAAGACCATAGGCATCTCCGGGGCAGGAACACATTGCAGATTTTCACTGTCATTTTAAATCACACTCTGCTACTTTAGTTTAGCGTATAAATAGCATTTTGATTCAGCAAACCTTGAAAAGTAAATGCCTGTGCTGTATTTTTCCTAAAAACCAAATACAGCTCTGCTTTTGCTGGCAGCATTTTAAATACTCATTTTCTAAGGAGTTGAGTTAAAAGTAATTTGGGGCATAGATTATTAATAGTGGTGTATTTATACTGAAAATGATACAAACTCATACTGAAAATGATACAAAAGGCTATTAGCGTTTTTTTTGCAGGTCTGGTTTCTGGTTTTTGTTCCCCCTTCAGAGCTTAATGACTTGATAGGTCAACTGTTTTTCAGATGCTAATCGAAAGATGCAGCACATCTTTATTTTTTCCCACAAATCCCATGCTAGATGCAGTGGCACTTCCTATGGCTGAACATTATCAACATGTTCTTGCTACCTTCTTATAAAGTGAATCTTAATCTTTGTAGGCTATTTGTCCTTTATTGTTTGGTAGATAGGTTATCATATAGCTGTTTCTTGAAAGTCCCTGTACTTTAAACCTCCACAAAGCCTGTTCCAGATGCCCACAACTCTATGAATTAGCCTTCATTTCCTTATGGTGTATCTGGGAAAATGCCATGAGACCCTGGCAGTTTATTGGTGGTTAGCTGACCTATCCCTTTAAAATGTTAGTGTCAGTTCTGTTAATATAACAGTACTGATGAGGTTCCTTCATTAGAAGTTTCTTCTATTAAAATCTGTTAGAGATTTCTTTAGGATGTTTACTCTCTTGATGCTAATATGATTTTATCTACTAAACTTTCTTCCTGCCTTTGTAGTTTTTTTTTCTTTTTGGAGTACTGGAAAAAATGCTTTTGCATCCTTATTTGCCATTCGGGTTACCGTGTTGGTGAGAGAACTAGCCCTAATTAATCCCGTTTTACCATTAGTGGAGCCTCAGTCACTCGGTAATACTCATTTTCCTTTAACGAAGACTGAATTGTCAAAATGAGAACATTGTTTTTATGATCGTTAACTAGTCCACCTAAGTACAGTAACTAGCAGCATGTAATGTTGACGTTTTTTGCACATTTTAATGGTATGGAGAATTACTTTATTCTGTACATTTTGGACTATAGTGGGGCCTTTGTTGCACAAACGGTCTTTTTAGTGAAAATTCTGAAAAATCAATTGTTTGTATAGCGAATGTTGGGCATATTGCTTTTCTGCTTGGTCTTTACAACTTTTACAATGGCCTGTAGCTTGTCAAATTTAAAACTTATCATGTATTTACATTTAGAAAGGAGAAGACTTGAGCCTGGACTGGGAGATTTAGTGAGGCTTTCACAGTTTCTTTGATAATCAAGGTGTTTTTGGTATTTCCCTTGAAGGCGAAGAAGTATGCTATGGAGCAGAGCATCAAGAGTGTGCTGGTGAAACAGACTATCGCTCACCAGCAACAACAGCTCACCAACCTGCAGGTGAGAGAACGCAGTGTGAGGGAGAAACACCAGATCAACGCACTACAGCCTCATCCCACTGGCGTTCCCTAACGTCTCTCCTCATACTCTTAACTACAACCATGGGAACTCCTCCTGGACTCCTCCACAGGAATGAGAAGAAATTAATAGATAACTGGATGCACATTTCGTTTTGCACCTAAGATGTGCATTTTTTAATGGAATATGAAAGTGTTAAGCCTGATTTGAGAGCTAAACTCTTAATGCTGCCTCACAGTTTGAGTACATCGATTTACAGTTAATTCTGTAGGCACAGTTTAGATGCAAGATGAATGTGCATTACAGTGCTGTGTTAACATTTAATGTGCTTTGAAGAGGAGAAAGTGTCCATTTGACATTTCAGCACAATTTATCAGCGTTGATATATTTTTAAGCATTGGCTCTGTATGGTAGTTACAAAATTGTAGGTAGCAAAGGTATTCCTGGCTTTCAGATTATTTTGTTCCCGCTTAGTATATTTGTTCATTTATTCAAATTCTGTTTGAACTTCACCGTCCTACAAGTTAGCAGAACTAATTTATTCAAGTTTCAGAAATGGATATTGAATCATAAGTCAAGATATCTTTGGCTTTGATTTCCATATTTGTGATTTAGTAATGGGTTAAATGGTATTTATTTTATAGTTATAGAAATTTTAACATTCACAAAAACAGATGAGGTAGTTCACTTGATGCATATTCATGTAGAATCGAATGTGATTATCACATGCTGAATAAACAGCTTGAACAAAGTCAAGTTATTTTTTAAAACTAATACTTAAGGTTTCTGACTGCTTAAGGTAATAATTTGTGACAATGGATAGCATTCAAATTGACATGCAAGATAGTCTTCCTCATTATTCATGAGGAAAACTCAATAAAATCAAGGTCACAGTAATTGTATTTAAAGCGAGGTGGATTGACCTTTCTGGGTTGGTTAGTACAAGAAACACTGGACATTGACAAGCAGTGTGTTTTTTCATTACAAACCTCTTAGATTATTACAACTTTTGGCAGTAAAGCATGCCTCTTTTTCACAAGGCCTAGTCTGAATATTGTTTTCATTTTCAGTGTTATAGGCTTGCTTCTCTTATCTGTTTTTTTTTCAGCTGGAGAAGAACAGTCAGAAGACCATGAGAAATAAGGGCATTTGTATCTGTGCACCCAGAGAGCTTTTGATAATTTCAGTACTTGGGTTAGGAAGGGGAGGGGGCTCTGCAGTACTAATGGTATTGAGAACATTGATTCTGGGAGGGGGAATATAGCACCAGGTTTGAAGTTGTGTGTGTGTCTCTAGCTGATGTCTTCTAAGAACTTTCTTTAAAAAAACAGAAGAAAAAATATCTAACCTACTTTTCAGCTCCTGCAGACTGAATTCTATCTTTACTGTCTTTCAGATGGCAGCAGTGACAATGGGCTTTGGAGATCCTCTCTCACCTTTACAATCGGTCAATAGAAATATTAAATTTTTTTCTGTGCGCACTCCTGTTAAAGGGACTGTTACCCTCTTAAGTGGCCGGTGTGGCCCAAGTACCTACCTTACATACAAAAACAGAGTTAAAAACCCAAAATTTAAAAGTAGACATGGCGTTGTTTTTTGTGCTGCGAGCTCAGTTGGGTAACGAAAAACATGCAATCGAAACACGTTAAAATACATACAGCTGTATATGTCCAATGTGATCAATTTCTAAGTAAGACCATGCGAAATTGAGGTGTACTTGGTTACACTTGGTTAACCATTTCCCCCTCCTCTTGGAATCTGTTGCTGTTGTAAGAGCCCCCAGTCAGCCCCTCATATTTGACTTAGCTGTACTGTGAGCATAGTTTTATTTTATATTGCAAGCATGTATGCAGTAGTTCTGTAGTACGTGTTCCTGGGTACAGAAGGAAGGTGATGGTCTTCATCAGAGCTCTTAGACAATGTGTAATTAGGAATGTGCAAAGAACATTCAATGGCTACCTTTGGGGAATTGAAAAGTAGTGTTCTGCACTAAAATTGTTCAAGCATCCAGGTTTGTTTTCCAGAAACATTCCAGTATCTGTCTTCCCTAGATTTGCTTTGTAGATTTAACATCTGTGTCAGCATCTCCTGTTTTGCTTAAAGTGAAAGTTTGTCCTGTATATCTGGTGAATAATGAGCCTTGTGCTTCATTTTGTGCCAATTTATAAGATAGGAAGTTGTGTGCAAGTTTAGCATAATTGAAGGCCACTGAAGATGAGAAAGTGATCTGTGAATACTACCTGTGCCACACTCTTTGTCAATCAAATCCTGTGTCCTCTGACACTTTAATCTCGTTTCACATTTTTCTACTGTTGATGAAGCACTTCACACTGTTCAGAAAATGTGCTGGAGCTGAAATCTGTGCATTGTCTGATGAGTCTTCAAATTGTATAATAGTAAGATCATGTAAAACTATGACATCCATCACTTATTTTCTGATGGGAGTCTGAATGTGTGCTGTAATTGTCTTCTTGTTAAGCAGAGCTCAAGGAAAGCGTGATTGACAGGTGTGCACACTGTAAGCAAAACCTTTTTAGCGTGGAGCCATACGTACCACTGCCACAGTATATGGGGGATAACTTTTATGGTTACATCTTGGCTGTACTAAAGGCAGTAGCTGCTTAATTCAGTGACCAAAAAAGATTAGGCCTCTGGATCTGCGGATTAAGGTTCATTCTTGGCACCAGATCTAAGGCTGAGGTTCCCAGCCCTGGTCCTGGAAATCCCCATTCCAGTACATTTTATGGGATGCCCTAAACCACTTTTCTGTAAAAATTGTGAACACTTCCAATTTATTGTTTGGAGGTTATCGTACAAGAAATTTTGAATACTTTTCACTTCTGGTCCTGACGTTTTCCCTTTACCTTTGGTTGATCAAACTTTTTTGGTTCTGAGTCTATAGAGTTATTTCACTGACTAGTAAACCCTGCTGGAAAAGGGTTCTCCAGAAGCATGGCTGACCTAAATTATAACATAAGATGTGTTTTGTAAAACTTCACCCTAGAGTTTCTGCCTGCCTTACTGGTTCTTTACTAAAGACGGCAGTAGGATTATTGAAAATGGTGCACCATACAAGGCAAAGCACTGGGCATTACAGGTAAACCAGGCTCTGGAGGTAGACTCCAATGAGCATGTTTGGCAATTTTGTACTATTCCCTGTGAAAGCATTCCAGTAAGAGGGTTAATACATTGACTTCTTGAAACAATCACTTGTCTTTAATTTCTAAGATTTAATAACAAGACTTCTAAGACAAGTTTAATTTGTACCAGCCTCATTGTTTTAAGTTGCTCTCAGACCACCCACCAAAGATCTTAATTGAATTGTCTGAAGTTTGCTGGTTTCTCTGCACACGCAAAAGCTATTGTATTTTCAGCACTGTGGCAAACATTTTGCCCTTTCTGCTCTGTATAAAACAGTGAAGCTTTGCACATCTGAGTTTTGCTGTTTGTGGTTTGGTTTTCGATGATTCCACTCTATGAGGTGATGTTGGCCTACTATAGGTAAGGAGGAAACGGTTAAACATGTGGAAAGTAGAATGACTTAAACAGAATTCAGTGTGTATCTCCAATGCCTGGACTTGAATAATTAAAATCACAGACACCTCTGCATTAAAGAGAGGCAGATTTCACAGCTGAATGTCAAAATATTTGTTTCGATTCCTTCAAAAGCTTTAACAGTGTTAATGTTTTGGAGGGGAGAGATGAGTGTTAAAGTACATAGAAACACACCATGTCTACTTTAAGTGCCAATCAGTTGGCAGAGTCTAGGTCAAAGCCAATCTGGGTTTGGGATTAAAGAGGGCCAGCAGTCACTTTACACAAACCTAAACAAGAAATTGATTCAGTCAGGGAAATTGTTAAAATGTGGTAGGAAGTCACCATTCTCCTTTTAAATTCTAGGACAGAAGACTTTTTGCACTGCAAATATTATAGGCTTAAACCAGAACAAAATGTCTGTACATTTAGTAAGAATGTTTAATTTTAATTTCAGAGTTTAACCATCCCTCCCCTTGGTATCAATTAACGTAAGCATAAAAGATAATGTTCTGATCAGGCTTTGCCTTGTTTTCCAACAGAAGTGTTGATTGGATTTGTGCTTTCAAGTTTGCAGTTGTGATTATTTCTGCGCTGATGGACTGTAGGTCATTTTCAGGAGCCAGATAAAATTATAAGGATGTGCAAGTTCACAATTTAGAATGTTTCACTTGGCACTTGGAAGCATTTGTAAATTGTAGCATTAATGGAAGCCCCATATACGCAAGGACACTTTTCTGTCTCTTTGTCTCTGTGTGCATATCTCTTTGATTGTTTAGAGATGCTTTTCAATTAGCTGCTGAGTTCATCCCCTTTGTATCTTGGATCTCGGGGACTGATCAAATGGAGTGAAAGCTTCACTATAAAATTGTATATTGCAAAAAATATTTTTGTGAGGTAGAGGTGTGCAGCTTAAACAAGTACTGTTTTTAAGCTTCTAACAAATTAGTTATCCAGTGGATTGCTGGCTTCATTATTGACATAGTCAAAGGATAATGTTGCTTTTAATTCATCTAGAAAGAAAGCCATGTGCTACAGTGCCGTGAAAAAGTATTTGCCCCGTTCCTGATTTTCCTCTATTATTGTAAATTTTTTACACTGAATATTTTCTGATTTTTTATCTTGAACCAAAATCTAATATGAGATAAAGGGAACCTGAGTGAACAAAACATTTATTTATTTCATGTATTTAATTAATAGTTAGCTGGCACTGTGGGGAAAAAGTAATTGTTAAATCAACCCAATTAAAGGGATGCTTAGAGTCAGATGATTGAACACAGCCAGGCTTGGGTACAGCCAGCCCTGCTCAATATAAACCTCACTTATTGTTTTGACCCTTACCATCAGAGTCAAGTTGCCAGCACAAAGATTCAACAAGCACATTATGTCACGATCAAAGGAAATTCTTGAAGAGATGAGAAATAAAGTTGTTGTTCCAGACTATCAGTCTGGAAAGGGTTACAGACCCATTCTAAGGCTCTGGGACTCCACTGAACAACAGTGAGAGCCATAATCCCCAAATGGAGAACACATGGATCAGTAGTGAATCTTCCCAGGAGTGGCCAGCCTACCAAAAGTTCTCCAAGGGCGCAGCATAAAATCATCCTGAAAGTCACAAAAGATGTTAAAGAAACATACAAAGACGTGCAGGCTTCTCTTGCCTCAGCTAACATCAGTGTTCATGACTCCACAGTCAGAAAGAGACTGGGCTAAAATGGGCTTCATGGGAGAGTAGCAAGGCGGAAACCACTGCTAACCAAGAAGAACATAAATGTTCGTCTCTCATTTGCCAAGAAGCACCTGGGTGATTCACAAACCTTTTGGGAGAATGTTCTATGGACAAATGAGTCAAAAGTGGTACTTCTTGTACGACATGGGTCCCATTATGTCTGGTGAAAAGCAAGCACATCATTCCACAGTAAAAACATCATACCAACAGTCATGTGATGGTGTGGGGATGCTTTGCCACCTCAGAACCTGGACGACTTGCCATAATTAAAGGAACCATGAATTCTGCTATGTATCAGAAAATTCTTAAGGAGAATGTCCGATCATCCATCTGTGAGCTGAAGCTGAAGCGTAGTTGGGTTATGCAGCAAGACAATGATCAAAAACATAAAAGCAAGTCCACATCTGAATGGCTGAAAAGAAGCAAAATTAAAGTTTTGGAGTGGCCTAGTTAAAGTCCAGCGCTAAACCCACTAGTGATGCTGTGGCAGGACCTGAAATGAGCAGTTTGTGCTCGAAAACCTCCCAGTGTTTCTGAATTTGAAGCAGTTTTGCGAGGAAGAGTGGGCTAAAATTCCTCCACAGCGATGCAAAAGACTGACATTGAATTATAGGAAGCATTTGGTTGCAGTCATTGCAGCCAAAGGTGACACAACCTGCAATTACTTTTTCATACAGGGGATATGAGATAACCATTTATTAAATAAATGAAATAATAAAAAAGTGTTATTTGTTCACTCAGGATCCCTTTATCTAATATTAGATTTTGTCTAAAGATCTGAAAACACTCAGTGTGACAAATATGCAATAGAGGAAATCAGGATTTACTTTTTCACTGTACCTTTTTGTGATTTTTACTCAATCCATGGCCACCCCATGGTATATCTCTGAAATTGACCTTTAAGTCTGTTGTGGAAAAATGTATTAAAGTACTTAAAAGAGAAGATTTAAAAATAGAGGATGCATCCTGATTAAAAATAAGTGTTCTCTTTGATTAATTCCAGTAACCATCAGAGTGCGATTTCCTTGTTGCAGGTGGCAGCCCAGCGGCAGCGTGCGCTCGCCATCATGTGCCGGGTGTATGTGGGCTCCATCTACTACGAGCTGGGAGAGGACACTATCCGGCAAGCGTTTGCACCCTTTGGACCCATCAAGAGCATTGACATGTCCTGGGACTCCGTTACCATGAAGCACAAAGTGAGTTTTTTCTTCCCGTGTTTCTGGACTTATATACTGACTCTTGACTGAGTAATTCTTTACAGAAACATACTAGTGTGTAGTGCAATAGATTTTTTAAAACTTTTTTTTTACTTTAATTAAAAGTTTGCAGATTTGCAAAGGCCCCTCAACCTACCTGTCTCTTTTAGTTATTGGTATCTGATCTGAGGGTCTTGTCCAGCAATTTCTCAGAAAAAAGGACTGCTATTGGCTTTAACAGAACAGCTTAGTAGCCTGTTCCAGGCTCCCACTACCATTTGTGTAAAGATAATTTACACAAAGCCTCCAGTAATAAGATATTCTAACTGCTTTTCCCTTTATTTTTCACTTTTGACCTCTGGTTTGTTTTAATGTTGGCTTTTCATTTAGTTTGATTTTTGAAATGCAATTCATTTGAATTCAGTGGATTTTGAGTGTTTGAAGCAGGTCCTTGTATAATTTGTATAGTTTTGTACACAACAAAAAAGATTACATTTTTAGCATGCCAGAGTTGGACATTTCCTGGTAATGTATCTGTTCTTCTCTGGACTAATTCCAGACTAGCAACATCTTGTTTATATCTCTGTGCAATGTATATTTTAACAAAACTTCACCTAATTCCAATTCTACTCTTTTGACTATTAACATTTGTTTGCATTTTGGATTAATGAAATTCATTTTCTGTAGGTAAACAAAGTTAGTTTTAAATTTGGCTTCACGAAAGTTTTACACCTCCCACTCCTGGAGTTCCTGCTTTCTCAGCCAAGTTCATTATAAAGTGGCTCTCAAGCTTAGTCAGTGTTTTTACAGCTGGTTTCCTTATGGGTCTGTTTTCTATCTTGGCTACAGATATCCTTAAATATTTGTTCTTGGCCTTGTTTAATAAACTTTCGTCTCAAATATATTTCAAATTCCTCACATCTGCAATATACAGTTTTTAGCTTTTGTCTTTGGACAAGTTATGCTTTTGAAACTGCACTCCCCCTCCCTTGTCAGTAAATACAAATGTAGTTGTATTTTTAGCTTAAGTGAGAGCACCTTTGAGCAATTGAAAGGATGCTCTGTTATTGAGGACCAGCTCTTCAATGTTCTGTTGCCTGTTGCTTTGCAGGGCTTTGCCTTTGTGGAGTACGAAGTGCCTGAGGCAGCTCAGCTAGCTCTGGAACAGATGAACTCTGTCATGCTGGGTGGCCGGAACATCAAGGTAAGCTCCAGATAGATCATCCTAGCTGGGCTTCTGAAGAGTTTTGAAATGGCCAGTGTCTGCTGTGACAAGTAGACAGCAGGACGCACTCGCGATTTTTCGGGCTGACGCAAGCACATAGTCATTATGTCTGACTTAATTTTAAGCTCATGACAAATGATAGCTGGGGCCTGACTGAAAGAAAACTGTACATGTACATTCATTTAAATGCTTAAAAACATTGTGGTATAAAAATAATCGGTCTCGCTTTTCTGACATTTCTAAGCACATCCAAATGTTTTCTACCTAATCTTTGTGTAGAAAACTAAAAGCTTAGTGTTTCTGGTTTTCACTGAATGATTTGTTCCTTTATCGGATTACTGTTGTACGTTTACGTGTCATCCTGGCTTCCAAATATGTTCTTAAAAATGCAGATGCACATGTATGCTGATGAGCTGAATTTTTTCAAAATGGTTGTTTTTTCTAGGTTGGCCGGCCAAGCAACATTGGACAGGCACAGCCCATTATTGACCAGCTGGCAGAGGAAGCGCGATCTTTCAACAGGATTTATGTGGCATCTGTGCACCCCGACTTGTCTGATGAGGACATTAAAAGTGTCTTCGAGGCCTTTGGCAAAATCAAATCCTGTACACTAGCCAGAGACCCCACGACTGGCAAGCACAAAGGATATGGGTTTATTGGTATGGAAGAAATCCTTTCCATGACCTTTTCTGCAAATGTTACTTGGTAATTTTACTATAGAACAGTTTTAATGAAGTGTTTCTGTACATGAACTGCTGCAGGTCTCTTTGCCAAGTGAATTTACTACAGATTCCACCTTTTTTAGTTTTTGTGACATCAGAAGATGTTGATAGATTGTACACCCTTGGGCTTATTTCAAGACGATCAAACACCTCAGTTAAGTCATTGTTCTGGCTAAGGCAATCAGTTTTTCTATGATCTACGGGCATATGGCATCAAAACATTTTTGATAGTTAAACAACCTGATTACTTAGGTAGACAGTAATTTTTCACTGTTCAGTTAGTTTGGGTTCTCCCACCAACAGTTTGGACTTCTGTTTCTCTTGCCAGAATACGAGAAGGCTCAGTCGTCTCAGGATGCGGTTTCGTCCATGAACCTGTTTGACCTGGGTGGTCAGTACCTGCGGGTTGGGAAAGCTGTCACTCCTCCCATGCCTCTGCTGACGCCAGCGACCCCTGGAGGCTTACCCCCGGCTGCTGCAGTGGCTGCAGCAGCTGCAACCGCCAAGATCACTGCACAGGTATGCAAGCTTGTGGGCCAGGATTTCCCCTTCAAAGAAGTGAGGAGCACCAAGCTTCATATAAAGGTGTTCCTCGACAAACTCAGGTTCAATTTAACACGATCTTGGAAAACTCTGCATCTTGGAGCAAAAACTCAGTGTAATTCATAGGTGAGGGAGAAATGAGTGAATGTGATTGTCATTCTACCAGTATTAATTAATTATTAAAGGGTATTAATTAATGTACAGGTCTCAAAATTGGTGGTTAAAATTTATAATTGTGAGGTTCTTCTATGCCTAGTCATTTTTTCTTCCTGCTGTTTATACTTTTTCTTTTAGCACACATGCCCACATTTTAACTTTCCACTGTCAACATACACGTTGCATATATATAGCAAAAATAAAATCTTTATCAAAATTATCAAAAAGCAAAAAAAAAAATTAATGTTGGGTTTTTTTAAAGTTGGGACTGGAATGCATTCTCCTTTTTAGATTGTTTTATGGGAAATTTGTCTGTTTGCTTTGACTTTTTTACACCACATCTATCCTGCTAGTCAAGTTACACCTGTACTTCAGAACATGCAAGACCCATGTTTTATTTAAAAGGGATTTAAAATACTATTTTCATATTTTGGGGTCAGAAAGAACCGGCATTGAGTACATGAAAGAAAACAATGAAAGTAAAATGTGCACAGTAACTTGTAAAGCCTCCAATCTACATCACAAAATGAAATGTCCAGGTACACGCAGCACCATATTCTGCCATTCAGAATGAGCCAACAAAGCTGCTGGTGATGTGAAGCTTCCCTATGAAATTATATACAAGCTGGCATATGAATGTATCTCTCTTAATCTATTCAAAGTCCAGAGCAATTTTTCTAGACAGTTTTGCCAACAATAACTACTTGTTAACTCGGCACACAGATCATTTTGGCATATTTCTGTGATAAAATGTCTGCTGCCCAACCTGTACTTATTGGCTCATCCACCACATTACATCAGTCATTATGGTGACTAGTGAGCAGGAAGGGCTGAATTCATGTTTCAGTTCGTGGGAACTCTCACTCACGCCTTTTGCAAGACCAGGGTTTGCAAAAACATTGTGACTTGCAGTACCTTCACAAGGTTAATGATTTTGTGCTTAATTCAAAATTTATAACTTTTTTCTATATAAAAATAAATTTTTCTTGCCAAAACTTAATAACTGGTCTGAGAAATTGGGACTGCACTTCCCCTTTATGTTTCAGAATGTACATTCCTTAGGCATTTAAGTTTTGGGATTTTAATTATAAAAATTTCAACATCAAGGAGATTGCCAACACCATGTAATAACATCATAAACTTTGAAGTAATTGTTTCAAACTTGAATGGATCGGTTCTTGAGCATTTAATTTGCATTCCTTTAGTGCATCAAAAGGTTTGGATTGTCCACGACTCTTTGTTAGGATGTGAAGATGCCTTCCTCAGGGAAGCTAATAAGCCCTCTTACCTTCCAAAAGTAAATGTGAAAACATAGCTGAAATAATTCAGCTCAGAATTTGGGCAGACATAAACAAAATAAATTGTCTAACATGTGAAAAGCTAGAATGAACCCGACCTGCATATTAACTTGCCATCCTGTTGTGATTTGTACTGTAATGCTGATTCTTAGAATTGTTTTAAGTAGCTTTAATTGCCCTTTCCATTCTGTTTTGCTAACAGGATAACAGAGCTTAGCAAGCAATGTTTTTCCAGGTCCAAAATAACCACAAAGACAGCAATTGTTCTCTCTAGGCAGCTGTTACCACCGCTGCAGTTAAGCACTTAAATAATATGTCTCAAAGGAATAATTTTTCTAAAAAGCATGAGTAGCATCCTGGTCGGTAATGTGGTTTGCAGCAGCATTTTGAATGCAGGATTGAGAGCTAAAGAGCCACCCTCAACTTGATGAACATTGTAAAATCAATATGAAACAAAAACAAGATCTGCAAAATCTTTTTCAGTTTTGCATGCTAGGAACCTTACTGTTTTTTTGTGAGTGCTGCCTGTCTTCTAGGTTTTGTTCTTCTTGACCTCTGTTACTTAAGCGCTCTCTGTTGGAAATCTGGCTCTTTCCTCCAGACCCGAGTGTCTTATAGATCTTATAATCAATTGAATAAATTTTCTAAAACCTGCATTTTGTGCTGTTCATATAGTATCAATGTAAAACAGGTTGGAACGTAATATTATGTATTATTTGTTACTATATATTGGTTAATAGATAGACATCACTGCAAAGGAATCTAACATACATCTTCTATATACAAATGTGTTTCCAACCAATATATGATTCTATAATATTTGTGGCTTACTTTGGATATCATGGGCTTGCACACAATTATAGTTCCTTTCTTCTCATGTTGCTCCTTGATTTTATTTTAGGAGGCTGTAGCAGGAGCCACGGTGCTAGGTGCGCTAGCCTCGCCGGCACTCTCCCTGAGCCAACAGCTGGGAGGTCTGCCACAGGCGGTAATGGCGGCACAGGCACCTGGAGTTATCACAGGTATGGAGAGGGAATTTCATCCTGGGGGGTGGGCTGTGCATTCCTTCTTACTTACCTACTCTCGATGCATTAAGCGCTGCCCCTGGAGGGCATCTTGTCCAGTAGGGTTTACAAGATCACATTGTCATCAATTTCCAAAGCCCTAAAACAATCAAAATTATACTATGATCTGTTTCACATTTGATTTGTTTAAGTTAGAGATCATTTGGAACAAGAATCTGAAGATCCTTTAGCCCTCAAGGAACAGAACAGGACAAATTATCTGTTAACTTGATCAGTAATGTCCTTGTTTTTAAAGTGATGATAAGTAGGGTGATGTATTGGACTGGGGCTCTCCGGGAAACCCCTGCATTAAAAGCAAGCAATATTCAGTTTTGAGGCATTCTGTATGCCTCCATAAGGTACTCCTGCTTGGGGGGAATGTATTGTATTCCGAGGTATGGAAATGTTTGTCATCCATATCATATAGTTATTCTGCCTCCCAAGTTGTTTTTATACTGAATGTAAACCACAAGGGCTACCTGTTCCATTTGCTGAAAACTTTGTGCCATCAGTGACCTCTTGCAGTGTTCTGAATGATACCACAGCGGTAAACATTGTTACTTTATTTTTAGGGAGAACGTTATGGCAAGCCAAGCTCGTAATGACATTTTAAAGAAGAGTGGGGAAAAAAAACTTATCTTCCTGGACTACCCCCACTGTTTTCTCCATCTGGCCCATATGATGTGCAAATTAAATGTCATTTTTATAAGGTCCTTGTGACCTGGTTCGTTATACCTGTACTCAAACAAAAAGCATTACTGTCATAAATTATTATAGCATGCTGGACAAAAAATATGAAGGGTGGCAAAATCAGCAAAATCAGATTACAAGATCAATTTAGACATTTTTACTCGGCTTTTCCTCCATAAAACTGCTACAGAAAATTGGAAGGATATTTATATTAGTTTGAGTTTTGGTGCTAATCAGTAAGAGACAGTGTTTCTTCTGTTCGAGGTTTGGAGAATATTGGCCGTATACTGCTTCAGATTGTCAGGACACAAAACAATATCTTAATTTAACATTGACTCCTTGTATTATGGCATTTATCTTAATAAAGTATATCATATGGAGAAGTCATGCATTTAATGAACAACACATACTGTTACAATACTACATTTGTTTTGTTTTACTCATCAGATAACCCATATTAAAGAGACCATAATTCTGTGTTCTGTGCTTTTGTACTTAGTGTTGATAGCACATGTTTTACCAACACATTATTTTAAATCTGTGGGCAATTCAAGATGGTTGGTCTGATCTAAAATGTTGCTGTGGTAAGATCCATTTGAACAGTGTCATTGCAGAAATGACATTGTGGCTCTCTGTGCTATAGAGGCTCATCAGTGTATCACCTTGGCCATCTGCTCTTTGCACTGAGCCACAAGGAATTAGCAGAACTGAGTTCATTTGCATAGTATGTGCTGCTTATTCCATCAGATTACCTGTTAATCTGACAAAAGCACTATCCAAAATGCTTTGGTTGTTTTTTCCAAGGTTTGATGTTGGCAGCAGGATGCTAACACTTCTGTTCCCCTGTCATTTTTTTATACTGCTGAGAGATGCGCACCTCTCCTACCGTTTGTGCATGCTGTCAGAAGACGCGAGACTGCTCAGAATGCATGTGCTAGCATCATCTGCTTATGTCCCCTGTAGTGGTATAGTGAATGCTGTCTTTTATACACAGGGGAGCAGTGTGGCGACTGGGTAGGGTTCTGGGTTTGTAATTAGGGCTGGGCGATATGGCCAAAAACATTATCACGATAAAAATTTTCATATCAGTCTATATCGATAATTATCACAATAAATGTCAAATCATTATTTCTTTCAAGTTTAAAAGCAGATTTTTTCTCCTGGGTGAAAGTTAAAAAAACAGACAGTTTGGTAAATTAAACAACTTTTTATTTTAAGAACACAGCAAACACTTGTTAAACAGCAGAAACATTAAACTAATCTGTTACCTGCCCGGTCTGCAACATGCACGCGCACAAACGCACATGCGCATGCGCAGAGTATTTTGTGCGCATGCGCAAAGCATAAACATATATATCGAACATTTATAGAACTTTTGTTAAAATTATATCGCGATAATTATCGTTATCGAATTATCGCCCAGCTCTACATGTAATTAGAAGTTTTTTGTTCAAGTCCCAGTTGAGTCACTGTTGTTGTACCCTTGACCCTGCCTGAAATGTACCAGTAAAATCCCCAGCTGTTTAAATGGGTGCAAATGTACTTTTTTTTAAATAAGAGTCAGACAGATTAGTAGTAATATTGATCCTGAGGGTTAATATCTCTTGACATATTCATTTTTAATTATTTAGACAAAAGATATAATCCCATTATTGGAGGGGTTGTCTTTAGTTAAATTAACCTTTTTGCTGTGTGCACATTGAAGTGTTCCAGTAGTTATCTGGAGGAAAACCAATGGATGATAAGCAGCACTCCATGAGTGAAGTGCCCGGATTTCAAGTTTTATCCAAGCTTTTAAAATACCGCTTTGTTTTTAGATTGTGGCTTAAAGGCTATGAAGCATAGAACCCGATGTCTCTATTGTTTGTTTTTTTTGGTGTTAAATCATTGTGCTTACACGTCCATTATTAATAACTCCTATTTCAGGACCTTTTTTGCAGGTTATCTTAGTTCATTTACAGTACGTTAAGATGACATTCGTTCCAGCACTACGTAACTAACAGCTTTCTTTTTTTGTCCTATTTTCTTTTCTCTCCTTGTCTCTCTCTCTCTGTCTCTCTACATTCCCCTCCCTTCTCTGATCTACAAATGCACCAACTGTGGCCACTAAATACCTTTCCCTTGCTGCACATTGACCTCCAAGTATGAAGAGGAGTTTCTCTCTCCAATTACTTATCCTTGCATAAATCTCAAATTCTGATTGGCCAGTGAGTTCTCCACCACTCATGTGTTTGTGCAGTTTAAACTCGAGATGTTGGTGTAAAATGGTACTGTGTGAAGAGATTAGCCCATGCTCTGTATTGAGACGTATTGGAGAGTTTCCTTCATTTTTACCTTTGTGCAGGGGAGAAGTTCAAAATCTTGACCAATTATCCAGGCTGTTTTCAAAATGTCTGATTCGATTACTATATTAAAAGTAAAACTTACCAGGAGATAGTGGTTAGTAGTATGCATATTGGATAACTGAACATTATCCAATTCAAGAATGCGTATAAATCTAGTGTAGATTTAAGCTCTGAGGATTCCTGTTGACTCAACCGATAAAGGCAATGTGGTATTTTATTTCAGACATTGCAAGCCAGTTTGTTTCAGGCCCTGACAGCCCTTTGGGGTTTCAGTTGCTCTGGATATCCTCGGTTTGCCTTCTGTGGCTTATTGAGTGCCCTTGAGCTTTCACTGTTACTCTTTTGTGTCTCTTCTGTGCAATATTAATTTTTTCATGTTTGAAAACTCCAAACCTACTTTAGTGTGAGCACGCAGTGCCTTCCAAAGGTACTGAAACAGCAAAGCCAAGCCTTATTCTCTTTACAGTTGGGAATTTGCATTTAAAATGATTAATATTAATATATTAATATGAATGATCTGTACAGAATGTCTTATTTGGGTAATTCCTTGGATACACGTGGTGATATCAGAATAGAAACACATGTTTGTGTTCAACATACAGTGCTGTGAAAAAGTAAGTGAAAAGGTGTGTGTTTTTCAACATAGTTGTATTCAAAGGTTTGGGCACCCCTGGCCAAATTACATGTTTTGTTTCGGCAAATAAAAAATTAAAATTTGCAGAAATATGTCAAGTTTGTTTGTTCGCTGCAGAGTGTTAACTTCTTTTCACTTAGAAAATCAGCAAAACGTAATTTGTCCAGGGGTGACCAAAATATTTGATCTTCATTTCAACAATATTGATAGATAAAGATTTAATTTAACAAATAACAATGAAAACAATTCTTTGCAATCATTTATTTAAAAAGTCAGAAATGCAATTGTCTGCTGTGGAAAAAATAAGTACACCTCCTAGCTGGTGTTGCCCCTTTAGCAGAAATCAATTCTTGTAGGCGTTTCTTGTAAATATCTATCAGTCTCCTATATCGACTTGGAGAAATTTGAGAGCAGAGGCCTTTTCATTCCTGACCTTGCATGTTTGCAAAGTTGTGCAGTCTCTTTCAGATGGTTGTCTCATGCACTTTGACATTGACTGAGGCAAGACTTAACTGTAAATCCCTTGATGTTTTCCTGGGGTTCTTGGAGACTTCCTGCAGCAACCTTTGGGCAGCTCTTGGGCAGAATTTGGTGGGACGACCTGGCCTGGATAGATTGCCAGTGGTTTGAAATTGTCTCCTGTTTGTAGATCTTTCAGACAGTGGAGTGATTGATTACAAATTGCTTGGAAATGGCTTCCCACACTTAGGCATCAACAGTCTTTCTTCTGAGGGCCTCAGAGAGCTCTTTTGATCTTGGCATGATGTAGCCACACACCTTAATTGCTAAGACCAAACCACAGTTTTCTATGTATATATAAGGCAGTGCCCTCCCTCCAAAGTTACTCATTTGCAAACTCGTGTTCTAATCATTTGCACCTATTCTGGTGCACCTGATTCTAATTTGAGGCGTTTGATGCAGTGACAAAGGTAGGGGTGTACTATTTCCACACAAGGAAATTGCATTTCTGTTGATTTAAATAGTACAAATGAGTGTGAAGTGTGATTTTTTCAATATTATTTTTAAAAATTATATACCTTTATCAGTATTGTTGAAATGACGATCAAAAATCCTTTTGTCCAAAAATGTAAAAAAAAAAAAAAAGAAACCTTTTAATGGGGTGTAATTAGTTTTTCACACCACTGTAGTAGAGCATATACATTGGCAGAGTAAATGTTTCTGTTAATGTCAGTATTCGATGACTTATGAATGAAACGATGAGTGAACAAAATGTTTTTGTCCGTGGCCAGGCCATTGTCTCAGCCATGCTTCAGAATTTGCTAAGAATTGCATAGATGAACTTAAAAAGTACTGGAGCAGGGTTTTGTGGACATATGAGACTAAGATATCATATTCTTCACATTTAACCTACCTACCACTTTGAAAATGTGAAGAAAGAAAGGGACCACAGATTCAACCATAGGTAAAAAAAACACTTTTTGGGGGGCAGCATGGTAGAAGTAATGTCATGCATGGTTGCCTCTGGAACTGGCTTATTCATTATTGTCTTGGATAACAGAAAATGCTTCCATACTTGCTGGACAACACTTCACCAAGAAGAGTTAATTAAGTGAAAATAGAGGAAAATCTTAGACTGGACAATCCCCAAACTTTAAATCGAATTGAATAGAATTTTGTATGTTGAAAAAACTGAAGTTAGAAAAGCCTAGTAATAGAGAGTACTTGTGGCTCAGTGGATTGTAGACTTAATGCAATTATTGCTCCAAAGGGACATGCGACTATAGACTCCCACATTTACTGATTGTTTGCCAGTGGAACACAGGCAAGGATGCAGAAAAGAATTCAAATGATTACAAAAAGTTTCAGCTCAGATTTCATGCAGTTACTGCCTCAGTGAAATATGTAACCAAATACTTTTAGCCTCTGAAATGTACTTGAAATGAATCTAATTAATCCCAAAGCTTAAAACACAAAATCACTGAAGTGGACATAAATCTTTAGTTTTAATATGATTGTATGTATGAAATTACCTGAAAATAAAATGCATATTTTGATTTTTCAAATTAATGTCATGGTGGTGGATGTAAATTGCTTGACTGTGAAGGGAAGATAAGTTTTGGCTATGCTATACCACTACTTTTGGGTGTCACTATTGGGCACCTTGACCAAAAATATTTCTGGAAGTTTTTTGTTCAATTATCTCTTGTATATAGGTGCCCTTAAATGTCTGAATAGTCCCTTGGCATACCCCCCCCCCCCGCCTCCTCCCATTCATGCCTTGATGTGAACCGTATCTGAAACCTCCAGAAAGCTGACATTTCAGCTTTTTTCACACTTGAGTTAAACATGCCCTGGGTATCTTAACTTCTTAAGGACATTAGATTATCTCAATGATTTAAGTACAGTTTCTAAATGGATTTGTACTTGTGATAAGCAGTGAAATTTATTTAGCTTCTTCAGTCAAAGAAACATAAATAGAGGTCGAAAAGAAAACCCAAGCTCTTGCGATTCATATTTCTATATTTATAACTCAAACTGTTGCATCCTTGAAAGTTCCGTTAGGGCAGTTTTGGGCCGCAAGGTAGGAGCTGTGCTGGTAAAATGCCACTTCATCTCTGAACAGTGTTTGAAAGCATACTCAGTTTGCCACTATTGTTTGCTTATAGGGAAAAACCATACTCCTATGACCAAATCAACATGAAACTGCCTATAAGATCTCCCAAGTTATACAAGACAAATTCAAAACCTCTTTATCCACACAGCGTGCTTCTCTTTCCACAGGTGTGACCCCAGCCCGACCACCCCTCCCTGTGATCCCCCAGGTGGGCCTGGTGAACCCGGTGCTGGCCTCGCCACCTGTGCTTACCAGTGCTGCTGCGCAGGAGGCCAAGAAGGAGAAGGAGGAGGAAGAAGTGTCCCAGGACGGCGAGCGCACCGAGATGCTGAGCGAACAGGAGCACATGAGCATCTCGGGCAGTAGTGCTCGCCACATGGTCATGCAGAAGCTTCTGAGGAAACAGGAGGTGGGTACGCCCTGGAAAACAGGCGGGAAAGAGAGACCTTTAACATTCACTATGAGGTTTTCTTTTAAATCTGCACTGCAGTTATTTTTGGTTTAGGTGTTTGTGATGCATGTTCTGAGTAGGTGATTTGTATTTGCAAGAAAATTGCAGCCAGTTCATTCTTGCATGATTTTGCCAGCTGCAGATTTATTAAATAACGCAAGTGCTAGTTTGTCCTGTTATGTTTGTCAAGGTGCTGTTTAGCATTGAAGAGAATTTTGGAAGGAGTTTTATTTTAACAAAGCTAATCCTTGTCCCCCCACTTATCTGTGCGTGGATGCAGTCGACGGTGATGGTGCTGAGGAACATGGTGGGCCCCGAGGACATCGATGACGACCTGGAGGGCGAGGTGACGGAGGAGTGCGGGAAGTTCGGAGCCGTGAACCGAGTCATCATCTACCAGGAGAAGCAGGGCGAGGAGGAGGACGCTGAGGTCATAGTCAAGATCTTCGTGGAGTTCTCCATGGCTGCCGAGATGAACAAGGCCATTCAGGCGCTCAACAACCGCTGGTTCGGGGGGCGCAAGGTCATTGCCGAGGTGTACGACCAGGAGCGATTCGACAACAGTGACCTCTCTGCATAGACTTCTCCCCTTTCTCACATGTGCAGCTGGTGCCTATATTCTGGCGGCTCAAAGCGGCGCTTCTGTTTTTAACCTGTAATTATTTTTTATGTCAACAATATTAATATTATTGAAGATCCCTCTGAGCAATGCAGGAGAAAAAAGGAATTTATGTTCACCTCCTGTGAAGGACTGGACTGGATATACTATATATCTTGTGTATTGTTTTTCAAATGGGAAAAGTAGGTTATTATAAGTAATTTGTTTGCCCTTGTGTTTTATTTTTTTACTACCAGTGTCAGCTTTTCAGAGGACCTTCCAACAGCTCCAGAGCTGTTGATTCCAGTTCCCCAGAATAATAAAATCAAATGGAAAAAAAATTGTTTGTAATGAATGTTAACCATCAGTTCTGTTTAAAGAATAATAGGATTTTCCATCCATTTTGATAATATGGGATAAAGCCAGTTTTGGATTTCACTTTTAACTGCTGGATTGTATTGCAAGTTCTGTTGGTCTTTTTTTGCCTTGACCAAGTTATATTTGCATTTATTCCATAGTGGTGTGAGACAGTTGTTTACATTGAAGGATCAGACTTGTTGGCTGCTGTTAGGTTGAGCGCCAAAGATACTGATGCCTGGGCCATGAGTTAAACCAGATGGAGATGTACAACTGCATCAAGGATATCGGTTATGATTGTCGTGAAATGATTTTCCAGTCAGTGAAAGGTCATGGAAATTATCCAGTGGCAGGAGACCAAAATTAAGGGAAGAAAAACTCAAGTTCTGTTAATGCCTCTCTACATTTGCGTGTTGCTAATGCCACCCCACTGTTCTTAAACGGAAAAATGAGCTGGGAAGTTGAATTTCACCATAAACATATTAAATAGATTTCTATATATTTTTTACTCTTTAGAAATGTGTCCAGTTCCTTGGCTCCGTTTTCTCCATTTATATAAAGATAAAAGTAAAGTGGATAGATAAGTCAGCAGCTGGGTTGGTTTGGAATTTATGCGCCTTTAAAATGCAGGTTGGCATTATGTGCTTGTCTTTGGTTTCACAAGTCTTGAATGAGCGATGCCTGCAGATGTGATAAGATATGTGGTCTGTAATTTTTTCACTAGAGTTGAGGAATTTCATTTAGACCTTCTGCATCATGGTTATTTGAACTAGACTTGGGATATACCAGGGTTAACATAACTTTGTTCAAAATGTGACATCAGACCAGTGAGATACATCATGAATGTAAGATACATGAGTGCTCCATATTTGTATTGTAGAATTTAAGGGAGAATAGAAATGTTATACTCACTTTTTCAATTATCAGTTAGGGGTGTTCTCATTATCTATCAGTTTGTTTTTCTCAAATATCGAAACATCTTTAAAATAACTAAGTCTTTGGGCTTTCTCCATAAAACGAAATGTCTGGCAATTGTTACCAGTTATGCATCTTTCCTCTTGTGTAACCTTTCCAGTATGGGACAAAAACAGGACTCCTGTGCACTTCTTAGAATTTCCGTGTATTGATAAATTGGAAATAAGAGAATAAAATGGATAGGTACCTAGTTGCAAAACCAGTAATTTAAGAAAACTGTGGACTTGCAATCATTATACCGCTATTCAGACAGGTAGCATAAATTTAGATAGGATAGCTATTTATTCTGCATATCAGGCTAAAATGTAGGAATCTAGAGCATGTATACATGATGGTGGAGGGCAATGCAGAAAAAAGCCTGTAAAAAATTATTCATTGTATAGTCAATGTGGGGAAGTGACAAAAAGACATAATTGCTTGGATGAATAGTGAAAGATAAAATTAAATCAAGTGATGGTAAGTGTTATGGAACATTGATCATATTAATATCCCAATCAACACAGAGAAACTGGCACCTGATTCATTTCTAAATGAACTTTAGAGACCACTTATTGGGTCTCCCACATTCAACTGCTACACAGTTCTATATAGTAAATATAGAAGTGTAACTGCTGTGCAATGATCCCACTGAGTTCAATGAAGAGAGTTTCATAGGTTCCAGTCAAGTTCAGTCAAATATTTACATTAAGTTATGTTGATTCCCATTCCCCACCTGTCTATCCTACCATGATTAATAGATGTATGGTGGGAGGAGCACATCCTGCACAACTGAAGGATCATGGGACAATTTAAAGTTCCTTTGAGCTGTCAAACTCATTTAAGCTGGAAAGGAAAGCTGTATAGTTCATTTATGATTTTTGTCTATATAAATCAAATCATGGGTGACATATTTGCAGTTTAACAGGGTAATCTCAAAACAAGCTAATGCTGTTGGCTATCAATTCAGATTCAGTTAAGCTGCTGAAGGAGTACTTTTTTCTTGTTTCGTGTACTAAAAGGATTTTTAAAAGTTTGTTCATTTGTAGCATTTTTATTTCCCAAAGCACTTCTCAGGTAGGGACACGAAGTGCAGCACCAACTGGTGACACCGGACTACTATTGTGCACCAGCAACCCCATTACCTGAACCGATAAGGAGAACCTGTAGGAAAATAAGATTGTACAAGCCTGGACCCGTGTTTAACAAGGTTGCCAGCCCCAACGCTCAAAATGCTGTGAGGACTTAAACGATCAGGTGGTTAGAACCTTAGTTTAACATTTCAATTGAGGGACTACACTTCCTTCAGCAGTGTTCCTGATCACTATACTCCTCTAGTACAGAGAAGAGTGCCACCTACTGATCCAGCAACACCTCTTGCAACATCAACCTGGTTTTCCTTGAGGGTTCCCCAACCCAGTATTAACCAGGCCAATCTCTTGCAGCTTCTGCTGTCTGATGGGATCAGGCTACACAAGGTAACACTGTACTTAGCTGCTAGTGGACAGCAGGCAAAAAGAAAACTACTGAGGAGCTTAAAAGTGTGCTATAAGATGTTCTTATAAAGCATTTTGAAAGAAGATACGATTTGTAAAGTCTAGAAATTGATTATTTTTCACTTTTAACCTTGGTGACACATAAAATACCAAATAACTTAGAAAAGAATGACCAACGTCAAAATATATGGATAGAGAGAGACAAAGGAGTTCCTTATTTCCTTTGTATTTATTTAAATAAGTCAACTGAGAACGAATTCGGATCTGCAAAGTTTATTTTACATTCTCGTTAGACCACATGGCATTTTGCTGTGTAATCTGAGCGACCTTGTGTATAACACTTTAATTCCGCCCTTGTTTTGAATCCACGATTAAATACCCTGTGGTTTAGAGGTGTTTGTAACGCAAATAAAGTGGATTTTTTTTTCCATTCTGTAGACTTTTTCGAGTCTCAACCTGGCAGAGCTGGACAGGTGGCGCTCTAGGCCGCCACAGTCAACCAGCCAGGCTCAGTGCTGTTAACCCTCCACTGCAGCAGGGCACGCTGTAGTTTGTGGTTTCTCGGCACTGAAAAGAAAGCAGTTCAGAGACAAGGGAGGAGGAGAGAGAGAGGGAGGTGAGCCATAGACAACAACAAGGCGGAGCTGAGCGGGCAAGCGAGAGCCGGGACAGAGTTGCGCTGTATACACCAAACGCAGACCCGGGCGAAACGACAGGAAACCCCGGTGGACTACCAGCGGACGTATCTATGTGGCTACCAGGAGTCGGAAGCAGAAATATTTTATCATATTAAAAGGGTCTTAAGCTGATCCCCTTTTTGGACTGTGGCCCGCACTTTCCTTTGAGTGGCAGCCCGGCAGAAAGAGACACACAACCGGCGACACCTTCTGCCCACTCCCCCACCCCCCCGGCCTGGCGCAAGGAAAGAAAGAAGCAAGCACCGTTGCAGATATTTTTCCCAGTTTGCGCCAAAACAGCTGTGTGGATTGCATTTTGTGGTGTATTGTTTTCTCAGATAGATGTTGGCTTGCTCTGTACATTTCTTCCTTTGGACGACACAATAGCTCAAGCAGAGGACCCGCTCGATCATTCCACCGCACGGTGAGCGCGACCAGTAGGTCTCTGCGTGGGGAGGCGTTGCGCTTGGAGCCCGTTGGGACAAGAGGAAGAAAAGCGGCGCCTGGGATTTGAATCGGATCTGGAATGAATCTGTCGCCTTTTGTTTTGATATTAGACCTTGTGGAAAGAGCTCAGACTTCACGAAAGACACTGAGCTTTGTCAGTAAGGTGTCCAAAGCTAACTAGTTTAACATTTTTGTAAGAATTTTTAGCTTTAAAAAATCTTTTAAATAGGAATTTTTATTTTACCGTGCTTTTCTTTAATTTGGTACATAACACAAGATCGATTGATAAGTTTTTCTTAATTCAAAAGCAAATTGCAAATTGAAATCCCTGGATAATTGCAACATTTTGTTCCGAGACAAGTGGAGACAATATCGTGCTTTTCTCCTTTGTTTTCTGGATCTCGGCATCTTTTCGGTGGATCGACATAGCAGATCTTGGATTTTGTGGATTCCCCCTCCTCCCCCTTTCTCGGTCGTGCTGGATACAGTTTTGGTTCTCCCTCCTCCTCCTCCCCCACACTCCCTCGCTCTCCGATGCGGAGTGCCTGATCAGCCCCGGTGTCCTCTACCCAGCGGCTGTCGGAGATGCTGAAGTGTATGCCGTTGTGGCGCTGCAATCGCCACGTCGAGTCGGTGGACAAACGGCACTGCTCTCTGCAGACGGTGCCCGAGGAGATATACCGCTACAACCGGAGTCTAGAGGAGCTGCTTCTGGATGCCAACCAACTAAGAGAACTGCCTAAGGTAAGTCAGGGGCTGGTTTGAATGCCGGGCACCAGTGAGCGCCCCCCTGGTGTACCTGAGACCCGCCAGTGTCCTCGCAGTCAGCCCGGAGCAGGATTTCACCCGACGCACACGAGTGGGAAGCCGTGACCGTGTCATCACCTTCTCAGACAGGAATGGAAATGGAAAGTTCGGTAGTGTGTGATGAGAGCGGAAGGGTGACTTTTAGTTGTGGGGCGAAATCAAATAGATTGAAGCGAAGCAGTGCCACGACCACTTGCACTGTAGTTTACTGTAATGCATGAAATCTGGAGTCTGAGTTCGCACTTTCGACTGCTTTGGCAAGAAGTTTGAACCCTCTTAATCCAAGGATGACCTTCCTTTGTTTTAGTTAGATTTCCTTTCAACTTTTTTTTTTCATTCCTGAGTGACATAGGTTGCAAAGTCAAGATTTCTAATTTACAGAATAAATGGTGTTGCTGGTGTGGTCAGTGTGTTGGTGGACTCCACAAGCCGGGATATTCTGTACGTGACAGGCTGGTTTATCTGGTGCTCGAGCTTATTCAGATTAATACGTTAATGTGAGTGGTGCTTTCGCCTATTATCTGTAAAGTACAGCATGTCCCTTCCATTTCTTCGAAACGAATGGAAAATTTAGAGAAGGAAGCAAAGTCTTTTAGGGGTGTGAAGTATGGTTCGTGAGGTTCAGAGCGATTGGCGTAACGCGTTCCTGTTCTTCGTTATTTACAAAACCATGGGGAAGGACCCATGTACACTCCTAGCTCTTTAACAGCATTCCAGGTAGAGGAAAGAGATAAATTGAAAAGGGAATTTACTCTGGACAGATGTCTCTGATTTTAAATGCACATAGCAGCCTCTGCACTTTCAGGTGTTTGTAAAAATTATATTATCATTTCTCGACTTTTCCCTTTAATTCCCCTGGAGATTTTAGTTGACATACTATGACATAGTGGCATAGTGTATTTCCCTAGGTTGAAGCACCCTGGTGACTTAAATCCCCACAGAGTTGCAGTTATTGTGTTTTTAATCCCCTGTACCCTTCTAAAGGCTCTGGACTCTACGGAACCCTGAGAAAGACCTCCACATTTACTCCACATGTCAGAGCTTCTCAGTGCCCTCAGTAGTATTTGTGAACACTGACTCAAACATGCTGCAACGTGAGTTGTAATTGGCTCAAGAGCAAAGTGGCTGAGGAAAGTCACCAAACTAGACCGACATTGACCAGGAGGGCTGCAGTGAAGCAGAGAAGGCTATGTGAACCATCATAGAAGTGTAGTGGTTTGAGAGATCCCTCCTTTGGATGAGATATGAACAAGGAGTGGGTCTGTAACTCTTTGGCGGAGAGCTGGTAAGGAGTGGTCATCTGAATTGTCAGGTATCCATCTCTCTGTGTAAGGCTGAGCAAAGCTCCTAAGCTGTGTTTCACTTCGCCCATTGAATTTCCGCAGGATCTGGTTTTCCACCTGTAATCAGATCTGTACTCTGTAATGACAAGAGCATGAAGACTGAATTAGTAAGGTTCATCTTCATTGTGCCAAACCTTTGCCTTTATAGCGCTGCCTTCTTTTAGCCCTGTTTTTGTCAGTTGTAATTGTATTGTTGATGGCTCTCAGGCCCAGTGGCAGGTACACTTCATGCCCAGAATGTCAGTGGCATCCCTAACCCTGACGTTGCCAGGCTGAGAGGGTGTCGGTGTAAGCTGGGGCTTGGGGCATCAGTCTGCCATTGTGTGAGGGATGTGCCGTGTGCTGGAGAAGGGCAACTTGTTTGGGTTTTGAACATTTTCACTTCAGGCTCCTGTTTTTTTCCCCAAAAAAATAATTGTAGAGGGGCCAGGCTGAGAATAAGTCACACATTTTCCTTTAACTGAAGTGTAGTTTCCAAGTATCGGCCAGAGTTGTTTATCACGGCTTCAGAGAAGGTGGGGGACATTTTGTAGTGGCGTAAAAGGCTCCAGAAGGCTGTCCATTAACAAAAGCTGTCAGAGGTATAGCGTATGAGGTGAGAAATGAACCCTTTAGCATGAATACCAGAGGGTGAGCGATGGCTGGAGACACACCAGGTCAAACCTTCCCTGTCTGCGAACTGTTTTCCCATGGTTAGTTTGCTGCAGTTAAGGTCAGTTTCGTTTCATGCAACAGGTGCTTAGCATTTACAGAATCACATGATGGAAAGTCAATTGTTTTGATCTCAAATTCAAGCGGCCTTCTCTTTCAGCTCGCACCCATCCTTGGGAGGGTGTTCTGTCCCCACCTCAATAAGGGGTCTCTGCTAAACCTGTTCTCGCAGGGCTCACATAAAGGATCTAAGAGATGAAAATAAATAATGCACAATCCTTTGAAGTGCTGCTTTAAAATGGCCGTGTCTGTGTGGCACAGTGGGTGTGATTTGAACGGTATCGAATGCAGGAGATTAGCAGACTTGGCAGAGACACTTGGATAACCTAGAGTCTAAAGGGCACTTCAACAGTAACGTCCGCGGCGTGTTAATAGAATCATTTGCTTCTGCTATGCCTGGACCGAACAGCACTTCTGCCTCTTTTAAATTCCCCACCATGAGCTGAGTTTTGCAAGCTCCGCTCTTCATCTCACGGTGGCTAGCGTGGCGTCTCATGGGTGTTGTTTGCAGGTGTGTTTCCCTGGCAGCCAGAGCAAGTCAGGGGAGCAAATGTTAGTTTAAGGAAGAGTGAGGCAGAGCTTTTTAAACAAGGATGTAACATGAAGCGCACTGCTGTGCTTGAGAAGATCTGGTGCAGAGTGGACAGTAGAGTTTGTCTGTGTGTGCATTGTAACAAAAGTGAATTTTAGAGAGGAGCTTAGTCAAGAGTGTGGAGTGAAGTTCTGGCCAGATGTGCTCATGAACGTTAAAGAGTTGTAAAACAAAATCCTTTCTTGTGCTTACTTAGTGTGCTGATCTAATTTTTTACCTTTTGTTTTAATTTGAGATTATTTACTAATCAGGTGGCCATACATTGATGCAATTGCAAAGGTGGTGAAATCTTTTCTTCAGTGACACTAGGGAATGAAAGTGCTACAAGGCTGTGCATCGGGCTGTAGCTGATGAAGACACAGAAGGTGACTTAGCTCCTCAAGCGGCTTCTCGCCTTGTCCTACATGATTATCCTTCAAGCCCTGGTAACAGTGCCGTTTGAGAGACATTGTAAAGCTTTGGGAGTAGTGGGGTCTCAGCCTCCCAGAAACGTTGACAACCACTGGACAGTTTGTCTCTCCTTATAAAAAGGCAACAGGACGCAGGCTGTACTCTGTAGAGTACAATGGAAGCATTTGTGTAATAATGTAAGTCTGGTCTACCTTGCTGGTAATTGATGGTCCCCCTGTATTGCAAGTTGAGTTCTGAACTGGTTTGGTTTATGATTATTTCCAGGTTTTCCACCTTTGTTAACACGGAAGTAATAGTCACTTCTGACCCCAGCTATGGAATTTCAGTATTTTATTGGTATCATTTGACTTCTCAGTGAAATTTAAAACCAGAAAAATTCTAGTCTTCATGATAAATTAAGTAATATTGACTGATAAAGTAATCAATTAATACTTTCAAGTGATAGGAGGTGCAGAAGTGGGAATACCCTCTGCCACTCCAGAGCTAGGTGTGAGCAGGGGCAGTGGTATAGAGCACACGGGCCCTAGGGAGAGGCTTTTCCTGTCTCCTGCTTCTGGGATGGGGGGCCTACAGTGTGTGCTCAGGTTGCCATGGAAACGTGTGGTGTAGAATTGATCATGGCGAAAAAGAACGGCATGAGAGATTGTGTATTGTTGGCATCCAAACTGGGTGTTAATTCAAGGGTGGTGTATCTTGAAATCTCCAGTTTCATTTCTGCAGTGAATGCAAAAAAAAAAATTTAACCACAAAACAGTCCTTTCAGGGCTAAATAAGGACTAGTGGAGAAGTATTTATATATACGTTTCCTGGAATAGTTAGCTGGCATCTACTGCCTCCGTAAAAAAAAGACAGACCAGGCACAGAGCACAGACAGGACATGTGATGTAGAGGACACCGTAGCCAGGGAGGTACATCAGCAGTGAGGTGTATCAGTGGGAGGATCTCCCATCTGCTCAGACTGGCTGCCCAGGGCATTTATCGAAAAGAGTAGGGGTGTAACCCTGGCGTCCTGGCCAAATTTCCCATTGGCCCTTACCAATCATGGCCTCCTAATAATCTCCATCTATGAATTGGCTTCATTACTCTGCTCTCCTCCCCGCTGAAAGCTGATGTGTGGTGAGCGTTCTGGCGCACTATGGCTCCCGTCGCATCATCCAGGTGGATGTTGCACATTGGTGGTGGTGGAGGGGAGTCCCCATTACCTGTAAAGCACTTTGAGTGGAGTGTCCAGAAAAGCGCCATAAGTGTATGCAATTATTATTATTATTATTATTATTATTATTATTATTATTATTATTATTAGTATTATTACTGTCCTGCCCTTAAATCCATACAGCTCAAATTCAGAAAACCCACCACTGACTGAAGTCAGGAAAGTCCTATAATCACGGGCATGAAACAATACCATCAGATGGCAAGATTGGCTCACATGGAAAAAGAGGAAATGCAGTCATGAGTCAATAAGTTGCTCAGCCAATGGTTACAGTGTGGTCAGCATTCTATCACAACACAGCGCTGTGACTTTAAAAAGCATCATGACACCACAATACCCAGAAACACTTGTACACCCTCTGTGGCTAAGGATCTGCACTTGTGACTGGATGGTTGCCAGTTCAAATCCCACGGCTGGCAGAGGAATCCTACTCCCTGAGCAAGGCCCTTAACCCCAACTGCTCCAGGGGTGCTGTACAATGGCTGATCCTGCACTTGGACCCCAAGCTTCTCTCCCTGTCTGTGTGTCTCATGGACAGCAAATTGGGGTATGTGAAAAGACAAATTCCTAATTTGTATTGTATATGGCCAATAAAGTGATCCTACAACTTCTCCCTTCTCACAGTTCTCGCTGTCTCAGCTCTTGTCATGCCTCCAGGGCAACAGGG